CATGTAGTTGTACTGTACATAGCGTCTTGAATAGCCGCTATTTGGACTTTCTATCAGAACCAAGCATAGACCCCATGCAGACCCTTTATTCAGACTGGACTGGTTTTTCCGCAAACCCCACAGGGGTAAAGATACTGTACCTTGAAGATTCCTAGGTGACCAAAGGCGCTGCCTGTTTATCACCCTCCTCACTCGTTGTGCTCGTTTCACAACATTATATTTTATAACATGTACATTCAAAGACATAGTTTGTCGTCTTACCTCATAAGAATGGGTCTTCTCACTTCTCAACACCACGCGTTCAAGCTTCCCGCCATGCCAGTGGCTATAAATGGTTTGTTTCTTGTCCAAACTTCGCCCTGTCAGGAAATGCGCATATTCTCCATCAAATATTCAACAAACCGCATAAATCCAGCCTGGAAACGCCCCTCTTGGTAACTGCACACTTTAAGACTGATAATTTGTTGACAAAAAGCCGAAAATGTACCCCAAATGTTGGGGGAACAGGAGAACATCTCGCAGGGCCACACAACACGCCTCGCGGCAACGTGCGTCACACAGCGAGTGCACACAGCTGCACTGCACACATGGCACATTATTTCTCACGGTCTAAAAGCGTCTCCTAGTGATTAGTTTACGAAATGCACCCCATAGAAAATGGTACCCTGTAAACTGCGGTTCAAATTAACGACGACCGTTCTTGATATACCGTGTACCGTGATTTGTATGAATAGGTTAAAATATAGAGGACAATATTAAGCTGCACTCACCACCTAAAAACGGACGTAGCGCGTCTTCCAAGGCGAATTTTAACCGCCGAGTTCTGCCCCTTCCAAACACACTCGCTATCTTGAAACGGCGTGGTCCTACCACCTGAATGAATCACCTGGATTTGCATTTTTCTTAATTATTATAATCAAGTGACAAATTAGATTAATCGTACTAGACAATCACCATACCGTGAGGCAATAAAAACCTAGTAATACAGTGTATCCTGTATTTCATAGAAACTTTCAGATTTACTCATTTATCATTTTGCGGTACTCTACTTTCTAAAGAACATTTTTAGCAAGGGGCCTATTACGTTTCTGGAGGACTTTGTTTCTTCATATTGACTATTACTCTTTACCGTTATTTTTTTTTTACTAGTATTATTAACGTGTTTCAGTGGAAGTTTTCAATAATTCATAGTTAAGTTGTCCGGTGTTCCTAGCGCTTTACCTTCTCAGGTCGGAGCCCGGAGTACTCTTACTCATTCCTCCATCTGGTCCACGTGCCATTCATTCCTTTCAAACCGTGCCCGACCACGATTCTCCGAAACTGCATTCATTGTTGTTTGATGAAAACACGCAAGGTAGCGTGTTATTTATGTCAGAGGTCAATGACCTGCTTGCTGGCGCCCCCCACCCAGCGTATCTCGGCCGAATGCCGACGTGGTCCCCGCTAGAGGCACTGAAGCTCGTCCAATAGAACGGACACATTATTTGACCATTACAAGGCTCGTACACATATTTCTTGACAATTGTAACATCAGCACCATTATTCATCTGTTAATTTAAAAGTCAAACAATAACAAAAAAAAGTTCCAATGTATATATAGCTTGTAGTACAAAATATTACGTAGTGACCGTTGGGTAGCTGGTTACTTTATTCTGAATAAAACATGGTCAGGGAAACAGCTTCATGACGGTAAATTGAATGAATGGAACAACACAGAAAACGGAAATAAAGTGTGAAATGAACCGGGTTTGTTGTAAAATACTGTAGAACCTTTTTCCTTCAGCAGTCAACGTTAATAGATGTGATAGTCAAGTAAAGCATAAACATTTGTAGAATACCTGAAGAACTGAAGACAGCAGACTTGCTATTCAAATAGTTTCATCTTTTATTCCTTCGTACCTTGAATCCCCCCCCCCAATGAGCAATGTTTTTGTGATGTAGAGAACCATAAATGTGAGATAAAAGGAAAGACGTCGTCTATCCCCATCCCTGTATTCAGAGAATGCATATGCGTTTTGTATCCTATCATCTACATCCCATTTTTACTACATGTACCAGGTTGCCATTATTATCTCATTCATTCGTTTGCTCATTCATTCATCCTTCCTTCACTCGTCATTATCTCATTCATTTATCTATCCATTCATTCGTTCGTTCATTCATTCATTCTTCATTCACTCACAGCCACTCATTCGTCCACTCATTCATCCACTCATTCACTCCCTCCCTCACTCTCACATCCTGTCCACTCATCCATTCATTATTTCCTTCATTCATTCATTCATTCACTCAACCATTCACATCTCATCCCCTTCCACATCAAATATCAGATCACAGTTGAAGTCCTGGGAAGTTTAGAGTCCCTCGGCTTCCCTCCTGGCTGCCACGATCATCTGAAGGAGGTTTCTAGCCTTGACGCTCCCGTCCCAGACCAACTGGACGTGGTTCGTGCCTAGAACCGGTAGCAGGATGGGTCGAACTTGAGCAAGGGCTGGGAAGATGGGGACAGTGGGGCGGGGTGGTTCCTCATCAGCCTGGCGGACGGTGGCCTCAGGGGCAGGGCGTGCAGCGGCCTGCGGCTTCTGGTGGGTAGACTTCTGCTCAGGGGTGGGGCGTGGAGCCGGAGATGCCTGCTTCTGGTGAGAGGTACTGACTTTCACCTGACCGGCTTGGTCAGTGGGAGTCTGCTCTCCGCCCTTGGGGGTGTCTGCCTTAGCCGCGGTCTCCTTCTTGGGTTGAGGTTTCTTCGGGCGCAGCAAGAAGCCGGCTTTCATTCCGCCGAATGTCCCCTTCGGTTTGCCGTTGGCTGTACCGGGAGCCCGCACAGAGGTGCTGGGTTCGACGGGCTTTGCAGGCTTCGTATCCGGCGCATGGTCGGTAGCTATAGGCCCGTTCAAGTCACTGCGCTGTTGTTTTTTCTTCACAGCCTCCTGTAGGGGGACGCAGGGTGGTTCCTCAAACAGAGGAACCTGCACTTCACATCTCTCGACTCCAATGGCGGCGTTCAACGCTGTGAGGAAAACAGAAATTCGATCAGAAACGGTCACAGATCGATTCTCAGAACGTCGCCGAACCTAGTTCTGTTGTTCGAACGCGGCGGACAGAAACTGCTCTGAAGTGACGTGAAAACTTGCTCTTAGGCCATGTTGATTTGATTATATGGATGACATCCGCGCGCGCATGAATTTTAGGTCGTTTCCAAAAAAAAAAAAGTTTTCAACCATAATGTTAATCGTGCAAAACAGTTGCAAAATGAGCAAAAATATACCATAAGTTACAAAAAAAAATTAATAAAAAGTATACCAATGTCGTAGAATGCCAAAATCAAACGAAAAAAGACGAAATTGTAAAGAAATGAACTTGAAGACTAGATTATTCACCAAGCCATATTCTGTGCCATTTGCTCAACCCTCATGACCACGTAGATTTCATAATGAAAAGAACTTTTTTTTTTTGCAAAACTTTTTTTTTATTCGCACGCGCGCATCAGTTTTAGGGCTCCCGGAGGATGTCATCCATATAATCAAATCAACATGGCCTTACCTTTCTTGATGGATCCCAAAATCCTGGTGGCGAGGCCGAACAGGAAAAGACTCGAAATGATTACGAAGCTGATCATGATTTGTCACAATACAAAGTCACCGTAACTCTGGAAAAAACGCCTCATACAGAACGGTCCTAAAAACACGTCTGATAGCCGAGGAAATTTCCAGAACTGCAAGTACAATGGAATTATGACGTCACAATGAAGTACCCAAGGACGTAGCGTGACTGGTGACGTTTAAATTGAAATGTTATAAAAATGACGCCAAAGTGTCTATGACGTAATATAACACTTTATGACGCTTTAATTATTACCCTTGAGGCATGGGTACTAGTATACCATTTCCGAGCTCTGCAGTGCATAGTTAATCCGCAAGAAGAACTCAAGGCATAACGTTATACATGTAGAACCTCTATGATACATGCACATGGAGGACATCGCCTGTCTGTAAACGAGAAACTCTCAGTACCACTGTATAATACTAAGTACTACATAACGTTAGGCCGTGTTGATTTGATTATATGGATGACATCCACGCGCGCATAAATTTTCGGCCATTTCCAAAAAAAAATGAAGTTTTCAACCATACTGTAATTCGTACAAAACAGTTGCAAAAGGAGCAAATATATAAACCGTAAGTTGCAAAAAAATATTGGAAAACGATACCAATGTCGTAGATTGCCAAAATCAAACGAAAAGTACTTTTCATGAGGACTTGTTTCAGTGGCCAAAGGTAATAGTAACGTTACTGTCTGCCCTGAAAATAGAATGTTCCAGTCGACAGGCCTTCACAAGTGACTGCATCTTGTCCTAAAGATCAGTTCAGGACTAAAAGATCAGATGTCTGATGTCGCGAATCGATTGACCAAAAGAAATGCTCTGCTCCGGTTCCATCTAGATATGAATACTTGTAGATATGTGTCCATTTGGGAGATTCTGAGTCGAGTGTTATAGATCTCCACCGAGCGAACCGTGCTGTGTAATTTAATATCGAGCCTGTTAGACTAAGTGTAGACGTCAGAATCTCTCTCTTCTAGCCTCCAGCCATTTCCCCCCAAGGCCATGCTTTCACCACAGTTGATTGCTAACCCGTTTGAAACGGAACGCACGCACCAATACAGTGGCTTGAATTTTGCCTTTTGAACAGGTACGACTAGACTCACTCATCACTCGGCTTCACATGCACCGGAGGGAGGACTAGTCCGTACGCCCGATCAACCAATTGCGTGTTCAGATGGAGTGTGTCTCGGCGTGTGTTGAAGCTCTTAACTGCTGTGCATTCGGTCCTTCTCACAGCCCTTAAGAGGATCTACAACCTGGAAGTGGTAAGAGAAATGGACCACTACACTACATCCTTAAACATTCGGTTCGGTCGTTCGTGGATTGCGGATTGAGAGACCTGGGTCCACACTGATTTTCCAAGGGAGAATTCTGCATGCAGTCTCAGATGTCATTCAATCTACCTCCTCTAGTTCTGTGAAGGGACATGCAAGGGGCTGCTTGTAAGGTTTACTATAATTTCTACGTTAAAATGTGTTGCCATTATTATCAGTATCATTATTACTATCCTCCTCATTATTATTATCATGTAATGTCATCAGTTTATTGTCGTGTTTTTCTCCGCTCATCATATATATGGGTATGTCATCCACAATGCCATGTATGGATGGCATCCACGCGTGCATAAATTTTCGCCCGTTTTCCCCCCCAACATAGTTTTTGACCATACTGTAAATCGTACAATGCAGCTGCAAAAGGAGCAAATGTATGATGTAAATTCCAAAACAATAATATTGAAAAAGGATTCAAATGTGTGTGTGTTTAGTCATTTGTTCAACCTTCCTGACCACGTAGACTTCACTGAATGAAGGTGACTTTTTTGCCAAGCATTTTTCTTCGCGCGCTCGCATCAGTTTTGGGGTTTCCAGAGCATATCATCCACATAATCAAATCAACATGGCCAAGGTTGAGAGACTGCTTCAGGAATGATTGACAGGTGGTAGATAACGAGCCATTGGTGGCGACAGTACCGTGATGATTAATTACATTACAAGAGCTTGTCCCTTACAAGGTTCTTCTGCTCCAAGTGTTATCAAGTATTGTCTAACGTCTATGATGAAATTACAATTCCCCTTCGTAGAAATTGTGACATTATCAAGTAAAATGAGTCTCTGGTGCATGATGGCATCTGTGCCTGTTCGCATCCTCTTGAATTGAAATGAGGGCATTACGTCGGTCTGTCTTCTGTTGGCGAAACTGCACCATAATTCTTGATTATTTTCTATGGCTTAATAGTACACTGTGGGATATAGATAGACTACACGTCGCGGCATCTACAGAGTCATAATTAGGTGAGAATATCCTTCTTTCAGATTCTTTTCCTCATTATTTCTTCGTATCGCAAACTGTGTCTCAAACCAAGGAGGTTCAATGTCACAACGAATTGAACGTTCTTGCTCCGACATGATTGATTTTTGCCGTATCTTCTATACCGGTTTACATCGTATATTGCATGTCACTTCCATGTTCAGGCAGCTTTTAAGAGTTTGCCTCAGAGATCGCTTTTTGAAAGCTTAATTAAAAGGCGTCGTTCGCAGATGGCTTTTAAAAGTTTCGCCTTCCCAGACAGGATTTAAGTGTGTGTTTTTTTAAAGACGGACGGCTTTTAAGCGTCGAAGTAAAGAATCATCCCGTATTCAGACGGACCAGCGCAGCAAAAAGCACTCAGAGCGTTAATGTACATGCAAGGCAACTATCACGCGGTAGTGCTGTTTGTTACAGCATATACTTTACGCCACAGCAAGTAAATTTTATGGATGACATCCTCCGCATACTCTAAATCTAATACGATAGGGTAAAAAAAAACAAGTCGGGCCCAAGAAAAACAACGATTACTACATTTTCGAATTTTGAGATCATATGCCTTGTTAAACAAGAACTGATACGTATATTGTGCTAGGTTTACTGCTAACTATTACAAAATGATTTGGCACTGAAAAATAAAAGTTTTCAATCATTGTACGAATGGTTTTCATTCAGTGGGAACATCACATATAAAAGGAATGAAATACATAACTTCACCAAAGTAAAAAACAAAACAATAAATCAAACCCTTGTATTGTCTGCTCTCTTCTCTGCCATCCACGTTCTAGCATGGCAACAGACATATCTGCCCATTTTCGGCATGTTAACGTTGACCACTGTCAGAGGGCAACAAAATTTCCTTTTTCTCCGAAGTCAGGCGAAAATTAATGCGTACTAGTGTCATCCATAAACTTGTTTGGGCCTCATAACGTCCTTTGAATCTCTTTGGAGGTAACACATCTGAGATCAAATACAGGCAAATTATGCTTGGTTAAATCATTAACATGTTTGTGTTGCCAAAATAGATCGTACAGTCTAGTTCATAACCTTGCCCAATCGAAGTGCATGTACTAAATCAGAAATATTCTCTGTGGTTTTGACCTCTCACCGCAATTCCACCGCGACTGTGAACATCTGCTCAACCTCCCGCCCTTCTACCTCACTCAAGGACAAACATGTGATGTACATTCTCCGTTACTTCACGGAGCAATTGGCATACTAAGATGCAAGCAGTCTTGCTGTTCAAGAATCAAAACATATAATGTAGATGTATTGTGAAATTGTTGCATGTTGCATTTTAGATTTGATCGTGCACGCCGTTAGTGGCGAAAAATGAACCAACTTTTAACGTCATATTTATAATAGCGATTCTATTTCGAGCTGTTGATGTGACAATTAATTCATTAAAAAATTTTAAAACAAACAAACAAGCAAAAACAAATAGACGTACGCACTGGTCTTGAATGTTAAGTCATTAAAGCTTGATAAAAGATAAAACGTAGAATTCAGTTCGAGAAACCAGTTCCCCAGTCTACGGAATATCTTCTTTTTCTCAGAAAATCTGTAAGAAATTCCCGTCTTTCTCCCCACCAGTTAGTTTTTCTTGGAATATCGGAAATCGAATTCAGCCTGACATTTCCCCACCGGGGCATTTAGGCAAACCTTGTCTGTTCACTGCCCTAAGATCCATTGAGAACTTTTGGCATATAACAACAGTGAAACTGAGCAGATTTTACATGCTTCGTGCACATGAACTATAATGCATGACTGCACAAAATAAGGTAGCTGGGTTTTAGATTTGGAAAAGTACATGATCCGGGATTCCCTTTGATTTGCCACACGTATATGCCTACAATGAGTTTTTTCATCAAAGTATGCAGAATACGTCGAGCGAAGACCTTGAGGCCAAACAGGGCTGTGTTTTCAGGGGAGCTTCGATTCCATTTCAGCCGTACGAAATTTTATTCTGCATAGCGCTGTCAATTAACAGGACGTAAAATTTCTTTCCATTTTTAGTCATCAGTATTTATTGTATGTATCATCCGCGTGTTTATGTCTGTCAGTCAGTGTTTGAACGCATTAACTCAAGAACGAACGGCCTTGATATTTGGCAGGTAGGTAGGTCTTCATGTGACCTCGAAATGATTAGATTTTGGGCCCCCTGGTGACTTGTTATGGTGCTGCAGTGGAATTTTCTGTTTTACTCGTAATATCTCGTTAGAGTCATCAATTTGGGTGGTAGATAGCCTTTGTACTTAGCTAACGTAAGTTTGGCCCCCTAGCAGCTTGTTCAGGAAGTGCAGGGGCGTTTGTTTCACAATTCTTCAAGGATGATAACTCAAGAACCGGTGGGCGGGTCGTAATGGTTTTGGTATGTTGGTAGCTTTAGTGATGCTTGACATATCTAAATGACATTTATGCAAATCATGATCTAATTTGAATAATCAATGAGGCTAATAAATTCTATGAATTTGCTGCGCTCCATGATAGGACTACTATATATATATAGTATTCAAACATGTAATTGATACATGTAACTGAGAACGAGGAAAACATCAGCAGATAGTATGTAAATGAATATTATATGAGGAAAGGCTATAATTTCATAGTTGTACTTGGGTAGAGAAAATGATCAACCGATATATAATTCATGCGTCAATTGGTGAGGGGTTTTTTTTTGGTCGTGAAACTCTAGTATTGCAATAGTGGCTGCCACCAATTAACCTGATTGTGCTGTGACACAGTAGATGTTGTAGTCTTCTTCTGTTCTCAAGTTTTCTGTAGATTAATGCTTGATGACGTCAAAGCGCACCTGCTAACCTGTACGTACCTGTAGTGACTTTTAATCTCCTAGGCTCAGCTGCTGGCGGCTCGCCCTACTGATTAGCCCCGGAGCGAGAAACTGTGTATAACACATGTACAGGCTGCCATTTACACAGTTCATGTGTTGATCCTGGGCCAACCAAGAGCTTTGATATTTCTTTCCTATTCCAGAGGCAAATATCACAGGCGAGACAGTCAGCTAACTGAAAATCGAAGATGGTGAGAAAAGGACCGTTAAGCCCAGCGAGTCTGGTCGTGCTTGCTACAATCGCAAATGTCATATTGTCGGCGCCAACGTCACCTGTAACAACAACGGCTCCTCATCTAGAGTATGCTACTCCGGTCGGCACCACCTTCTCTCTTCCACCGAGTAAAGTACCAGAGAGTACCGGTGTCTTCACCGAACCTGATGACCAAACACGAGGCAATGCCACGGAGTCGTTCTACAGAGACACAAACTCAATGGCAACAGAAGAAATGCGAATGCCCACATCTGCAGACCTGATACGAAAATACACCGGTTTCGCGAAAACCAAGCCAAACAGAGATCGCGTGTTTCCATCCGTTCCAGTCACATCTGAAGAGGATCAGGATGATATCGACGTGGAGGAAGAGTTTTACGACAGTCAGAAGGAGCGGATCATGCACATTCTGGTGGGAGCCGGTTTCGGGGCGTTGATGTCAATGTTCATCATACTGTTTATCGTCTGTGCAGTGCGAATAGCGGCCTCCACCATGCCTTCATACAAGCGTACAGCTGGCTCCCCGGCTAGAGACCTGCACGATGTGTTGGGGTTGGGTGATGACATGATCATGGACATCAACGGGAAGACAATGGAAGGTAACAAATAAACAGGTACGGTTGTCCACCAGCACGGAACATACTGTAAATCACTTTATGCTCGCGGTCTGAGAGGAAAAAATGTTCGCGGAACTATATTTTCGTGGTGAGGACACGTGCAAAGAAAAGCAAGTCGGCGAATTATATGATCACGGTAATAATAAGTTCGCGGTACAGAAGTGACCGCGAAAACACAAAAGTACCGTGAAAAAATTGTGATTCACAGTAGCATCGGATGGAGAGGAAGGAAGCAACAGCCGACTCTAATTCTTCAGGCAAGAAATGCTTCATTCTTACCAAGCAGGTTGACAATCTGCTTCTTCTAACACTTTCCCAGTTAGGCCCCTGCCACATTTATTATGCGATAATTTTCGCAGACAGTATGGCAAAACTGACAGTCGACAAGGACCAACGGAAACTTTGCCGCCATAAGACAGCTGAATGCTGTACAACGCATAGACCATTCGCCAACCAATCCTGCAACGTAAGTGATCGGAAAAAAAGATGACAATTAGACTAGGTACATGTATGGGTGGATAATAATGGTGTAGGGGATTGGTGGATGTATGATTTAGCACGTGTATTCATCTATGTTATATACATGTATATATAACGTTGCAGCTAAATGTGTAATGCCCACACTAACGTTTTCATTTTGTGAAATGTACAGCTGAATGTACATGATAACATTCAAGCATTACAAGGGGGAAAGAGAGACTTAGGCGAAGTAATGATATACATACATGTAACGGTACTGAAACAATAAAACACCATTCAAACAATGCATGTAATTTATAAGCAACATTTTGATATCAATAGTAGTAACTGCACTGCACTCATGATGAGGCTCTATATGTAAATATTGCATATTATACAAGTGCAGTACTCCTAGTGCCATATATTTTTATTAGACTGTGGTGTATGGGGTTTACAGTTTTCAAACTTTACTCATTCCTGCTGTACAAGTGCTTTCACCAAGTGGTGCCATCATATTTCTGTAATTACATTGTCCTGTAAGTGTATTCATTTACTTTATTCACAGATACATTAAAATCCAGAGTGCAGACACTTCAGTTTATATATAGCACCTGGTATACAATGTACATTTTTTCTTGGCACAAATAATTTATTCCATATTTGAATTGAGAAGAATACTCTGTGCAGTCATCATTCATATAACAGAATCAAAAGGCAGCAATATAGAGTGCTGCCAATAGCAACATTAACATACTCACGAAATTAACTCTTCACATTCAAATTCATCTATAGTAAAATTTAAACAGTCACATCCAAATGTAACATCCTACCTACAATGATATGATATTCCATCATTACAAACACTTGACATAAAGTACAGTAAATTGTTTTATGTTTGTAGTTGGAGGCCTTTGCATTGCTTAAGTTTGAAACAGTGCAGTAGTACAGACTTCAGTTGTAAGACATGTTTGTGGTGTGATAAGTTTGCAGTGAGAGCTAAGAAACCGCAAACATAAACCCACAGCAATTATTTCTTGATTTACAGTACTTTAGTCTTTTTCATCAACACACTAGAATGACAGTGTTATTTCCATAGTTGCTGTACATAATGTAAAGCTGTGTCCAGGACCTGTAAGGTTGGATGAGACATTTGAGAAGACGTCGTCAGACTTCCTGCCTCGGCGGAATACCCCGCTGCTGCCAGCTGTTGCGCCGTTTCCCGTATCGTGTCCGCCACGCCGCGCTCTAGTACGTGGTCTTGCAAACTCCTAGTGTTGAGGAAAAAGAAGATGAAACAAAATTGACAGAAAGATAACAATTGCAAAGCAAATGTGTAATGTTTACCTTAACATGGTCTAGCCCAACGAACTGAGCTACTGCTCTGTTTATTATTACTCAAATACCCATATGTATAGAGAGCATCCTCTCCAACTCTGCTACATAATTTAACCCAACTCCATAGGGTGTCTCCTTTAAAGTTTGTGAGGCTAAGTAAATACATGTTACACCTTCCAGGCAATTCTACATTTTAGACAAGTCAAATCAACTTAAATTGTGAGGACGGAATGGGAGACATTCAGAAGAGTGAGTGAAGAACGAAAGATGGGAGTGAATGGAAGGTTCTGCCCATATCATACCTATAAAGTGGAGTCTCTACCACTTGTGCAGCTAGGTGTCGGAGCAGGAGTAAGTCTAGAGCCTCTTTGTCAACAGAAGCCTCATCCTGTAGGAAAGAAAGCAAACTACCTTGATTTGTCAAACTGTACAGTTTCTGCCTCGAACGAAAATTCATAACTTGCCTGAAAGATACTATTAGTTCTTCCCACACTTTCAGTGTATAGGGCAGTGACCATCTCCCTTTCTATAGCCCTTTGGTCACACAGTTGTGCAAGCATTACAGAGGAGGGCAGGGTAACATGACTTGTGCCCCGTGATATCATTTCAATGCCAGGAGGCAGGACAATAAAACTGAACTACACTACCTTTCCACAAACAGTAATAGTCCGAAGGGTCTAGATTTGAGAAAACTTTCAAAAGGTGAGCCATGCTTTTATGATCAAACACACTTGTTTCTTAAGGACAAAGCTGTAAAATTCAGATACAACAGCAAAACATGCAAGTGATTACTGACCTGTGAGTAAGACTTGGTCAGCAGTGCAACAGCACCCGGGTACAGCTGTTCGTAAGGGGACAGCAGGGCGACCTTAGCAGCAGCAGCTGTTCTGTCCACTCCCACCAACAATTCCACCAGGTGTTCTGTACACTGGGGATGTGGTGACACAGTTTTGAATGTAGTGAGATATTATTTTTATGGCTTCACCAACACCACATAGTTATTTTCACTCATAGAAAAAGTATTGCGAGTACATGTGAGTAAGTGTATACCTCTTTGTTGAACAGCTGTCCTGAGCTGTCCAATGTGCTGATCAGACTGCAGATATCCTTCTCCAGGTCAGCATCCTGCTGGTCTCCCTGGGAACAGCAGCGGATCCGTGCTGACAGCACCTGTACCCAGCTGTTGTGTTCTGGCTCACTAGAAATGACATGAGTGGGATATAGTGAGAGAACTTCATTTTGACAAATCACTTTGGTTACTGCCAGCAATGAAGGATATGCAAAAATATGTTTATTTATCAATTATTAGTTCCTTCTCATCACAATGATATAAAAATTACATTATATTTTCCACATGTTACCATAGTCATAACTAAAAGTGAAGCCTACTAAAAGGAAACCGGGGCGTGCTCGGCTCAGAATCAAGAGGTCTGGCTTTCCTCACTTAGTTAAGCTAGAAAATGAGTATTCATTTTTGTCTAATGTCTATTGTCTCTGCATTGGTGGCGGCATAAAAATTGTGTGCCGTCACCTTGTCTTGTTGGAATATTACAAGAAAATAAAAGGAAACAAATTTAGAAGTTTTTTCTGGGATGGAATAACAGACCTTGCGGAGCTGGATGGCAGTGTAGGCCACATACACAGTACTGTCACCAGGGCCTGGAACTGCTCCACTGAGCTGCTTTTGCCCAGCAGGGTCAGGTACAGAGTTTGTCTTGCCGAGTCGTCAGCCATGTCCTGTCGCTGGATCTGCAGACCCCAGTTCTGTGTTGCCATGGCGTTAGTGTGACAGAACAGCAGCATCTCTTTGTCTTCTACCTCTACATCAAGGTGCTGTGGGGAGGGGGCAGAGGAACTGTCAGTAGTACACATTTTATCTTTCATAATATCTGTCATCTTACTGGGTATGCATGCTTTACTTTAAACTGTAAAAAAATTTCTGTCATTGCAATTTCTGCTGTAAATTCAAGCTCACACTCTGGCATAAGTAGATTTAATTCTAAACTTTCCATATCATAACAAAGCCCACAACTATGGTGTGATAGTGTAGACCTGTTCTTTGTACTGAATGATTACTACTAATGCCCATAACTGTGGTGTGATAGTGTAGACCTGTCCTTGGTACTGAATGATTACTACTAAAGCCTACAACTATGGTGTGATAGTGTAGACCTGTCCTTGGTACTGAATGATTACTACTAAAGCCTACAACTATGGTGTGATAGTGTAGACCTGTCCTTGGTACTGAATGGTTACTACTAAAGCCTACAACTATGGTGTGATAGTGTAGACCTGTTCTTTGTACTGAATGATTACTACTAATGCCCATAACTGTGGTGTGATAGTGTAGACCAGTCCTTGGTGCTGAATGATTACTACTAAAGCCCACAGCTTTGGTGTGATAGTGTAGACCTGTCCTTGATGCTTAATGACTATCGAAGCTGCAGAGAAAGCTACCAAACCAAACATACCTGTTGTACCAGTTTGACCACGTTAAGCTGTTTGTCACTGCTGACTGACATGTCTGCACAGAAGTCGTGAACCAGTGGCAACAGTTCCTTTACTGACATAATGTCTTCTCTGTGGAGATGAAGCAAACAAACATATGAACTACTGAACCTGTCACCTCTGTTGAGATTCTGAGTGGTGTTGCAGAAAGGATGTACTTCAAAACATCACAAGTCTACATCTCTGCTCATGACTGGCATATTTTTCTGCCAGATCAAATAGGCTATCTGGGTCAGAAAGTTGGGGTGGGGGGGATGGGAGATAGACTCAATGATGCTTTAGACAGCATCCTTACTGTAACACTACTAAATCACTTTATGTTTGTGGTAGCAAAAGTTCACAGTCTAAGAAATATGGACATGTTTGCAGAACTATATGCTCATGGTGGCGGCAGGTGCAGCAAAAAGAAAGTTGGCAAATTATTTGATAAGTTTGCAGCACAGAAGTGACCACAAAAACCATGAATATAAAAGTACCACAAAAAAACATGATTAATAGTACTACAAAGAACAACACCTTCAAACTTACCCACTCTGTGTACAGTCCCGTACATTAGTCAAGAATGTCACCAGTTGTGAGGTTGAGTCCTGGTCAGCTGTCCCCCCCTCCCTGATGTGGTTTAGTATCTCCCTGAGAGCCTGCTTGGCTGCGTGGTCAACAGTAAAGCCCTGGACCCCGGCCAGCCTGAGGACCCTGTCCACTGTGTCTAGAGGGGTGCCATCTATCGACATTTTTACCACAAGGGCTCTTATCTGCAGGAGGGAAAACATCATGGAATTATATCAGCAAAATAAAAATAGGATGGAGGGTCAGACCTAAGTTTATTGGAAAACTAAGTTTGTAGAATAAGTGAAATGTTCAGACTGTAAGTTGACTTTTGATGTTACCTTTTTAGGCCCTACCAAGACACTATGACTTGTCATAGTATTCCCTACTTAATCATGCGAAATGCTTCTACACCATGGGATAGGATGAAAAAAAAAATGATTGTAAGAGTCTTATATACCTTGTCTGCTTGTCCTTGGCTGAGATCGTAGACCATAGCATAACTTCTTTCCTTGCTCTGTAAGAAAAAAAATCTTGGTCACTTATTACTCATTAAAAAAATAAGGAGTAACAAACTGCACTTGATCAGGTTGAGTTCCATTTCAATAATTTTTTCAGAATGTATAAAAAAAATTCCCTATACCATCACTTGCTTCTGTGATAACATGTACTTTGAGCATGATTTTTAATATTAAATCATATTATAATAATGACACTATGCAAGTTTATATCTTCACAAACTGTTTCCATGTCAGATTGCAGATGCAACATTTCTGTAACTGCACAATATTTTTTAAAAATCCTATCCACAGACTGTATAGTACAGTAAAATGACCTGTGAACTCTCCCGGAGACCAACAATGACGTTGTCTGTTAATGTCTGCAGATGCTGCAGAGATTTCTCCAGCCAGTCTGTGACTTCTGTGATTGTGGTGCTGTAGGTACAGCAACACAAGAGTGAGAGAGAACATATGTCAAAGAGCTGACTAGGCTATAATTACATGATTGTACACCATAAACAGCAGAATAATTGTAAGAATTGTACGTTCTTGTATGCAGGTAGGCATTTCTTCGTTTCAAGGTATAAGCAATAAAAATAATAAAATTGCCACTTTTGAGGTACACGTGTATCTGTCTTACATGAGAGTAGCAGCTTTATTATTGAGCTGATTGTTTGCTATAGTATTATACTTTGTGGTGGATTGGGAAAACAATTTGACTCAATTTCTTTCATTTTACAAAACTGCTAGTCCCCTCATAAACATTAATATGATCACTCATTCTGCCAAATGGCTACTTAAGTGTGCTAAAGGTTAACATACACCAAGTCCTACTTTTTGCCTATTATAGTTAAGCTGTATTTGTCACATTGAATGTGACATTTGGCATACCTGTCTTGTTTTTTTGTATCTTTCTGCTTGTTTGAAGACTTGCTGGTGAAGTTGAGCACATCCTTGATTATACCAATACGGCTTTCCACATGCATCTGGAAGACAGAAGAATGATGCGTACACTGGAACACAGTCTAGCCTACAGCACTAAAACACCTTACTGGAATGTTTTGTCTGTATCAGGCCTATTTTCTGCTGGATACACACATGTAACTGTCCTATCAGTTTGAGTTTTAAAAGATAAATACAAAATAAAGAGGAACTGATGCTACTGATTGGAGTAATGTAGTATGTTATAGTAATATTATTTCATTGTATCATAACAATCTTTATTGACACAACAAAAGTATGGTGACTTTCTTAACAGTGGTTGAAATACTTTTTTTCAGTGCTCTGCAATATTGCAGAAGAGTCAAAATTTTGTTCTGCAATTTGGAAACACTTCCTGCAAAAATTTACTAAAACATACTAATAAAAGACACAAAAAAGTTACTCAAGTAGCTGTATATAATTTTGGTGCTACCTAAAACGGTCAGACTACTACACTTTCATCAGTGACACTAAGAGACTGAAGGAGAACTGCAGGTTTATAAGTAAAAAGTATTGACTGATATGCAAATTAGTGAAGACAAATTTTTGGAAGTCAAAAAGGAAACAAAAGATAGACAAGTGAAGACGAGGATGATGCAAATTATTGAAGAAGCTCCTGTTGTTTCAGAACAGGAGCTCAAGTGTTTGATGGGACCTGAGAGTGCTAGTTTGCTAAATTGAAAACTATTGAATCTGGAGTCTATTTTTCCTTCTGCAAAATTGCAGATTGTATAAATTTTTCTTCTGCAATCTTGAAAATCTATCTGCAGATTGCAGACTGCAGACAGGTATTTCGAACACTGCTTAAGGTCTTGACTATTACAACTAATGTATACATATAATCAAATGGATACAAACAAACTATACTTAGCACAAGTGTATGAATAAATCAACATGATTTGACTTGTACTTCTAGTTCTAAGGTCTAAACACTCTTTGATACATTTGCCTAATGTATGTAGTAAGGGTTAGCTCCTTCTAAAATGTAATGGAATTTATCTATTGGATGGAGTGAACTTGTACATTCCTACGTGATACAAGAGAAGAGTTACTTCCTTATGAACGAATAAAACCTACTTTAATTAATTATATTCTACTGACCTTGACTGGTGCTTGTGAGTGGAACACGACCTTGTCAGTGAAGGTCAGGAGGTCAGAGGGCAGCAGTCGGGGGAAGAATTCACTACAGGCAGAGAACCTCTCTGTACACTCCTCCTGCAACACAACACATGTTGGAATGCACTAGAGTTGGTCCATCAAAAATAGCAAATTTACTTGGTTGATCTACTTCACATTTTTGAAACATACCTACGTACATGCATATTAGATGTTGGCCCTGAATCTCAAGTGTCATTTGAATCACGTGAAATCACTTTCAAGCTCAAGTAATCTTGATGCACTCAACAAAATATTACTCAGCAAACCTAGCCTGTCTGTACATGTATATTATATTAATCATTTATGCTCTATCTGCAGATCTCCAATACTAGTCCAAACTACATCTGCCGGGTCGGTACTAAGTACAATACAGTCTGTATTTATCTCTATCTATCTAAACCAACCAAAAAATGTACAGCTCCAAAGTTTGGCTAAAGACTAGTTCCAAATGTATGAAGTAAATATTTCCACTATATGCTGTGGATGGCAAGAAAATGGAGCTGCTGTATATTGCATATACCTTGTCCTGTAGCAAGTCTGAGTTCAGGGCTTCCTCATTCCAGAAGAAAGCAAGCAGGAAGGTACGATACACCTCAGAGGACTCCAGAAAACCTCCCTCCTGGGAAGTACAAAACATATTTTTCTTAGTACTAAACACTTAAGGAAACAATGACAATCATAATTTCCATATAAAAAAAACTTTTCTTCAACAAAAAATTTTTTGTCATTGTAAATTAGCACATTACTAAAGCCCACAACTATGGTGTGATAGTGTAGACCTGTCCTTGGTGCTGAATGACTACTACTAAAGCCAGAACTATTGTGTGATAGTGTAGACCTGTCCTTGGTGCTGAATGATTACCACTAAAGCCAGAACTATTGTGTGATAGTGTAGACCTGTCCTTGGTGCTGAATGATTACTACTAAAGCCAGAACTATAGTGTGATAGTGTAGACCTGTCCTTGGTACTGAATGATTACTACTAAATCACATTACAATGGTCTGATACACACCTTTGCTGGAATCTTATTGGCCAGCTTGGCAAGCACATGCACATTACTGCTGGTGACAACCCTCCTCAGCACATCCAGGGGGTCTGATGTGCCTTCAAACAGTTGTTTGTAGTCAAGACCTGCAGAGAAAAAATGAAGCACACAAAACATGAGAGTTACAAGAGTTCGAGATATATTCAGATATTTCAGGCATTATTTGATGGTCTGGGGTATTGCATTCATTCTTGAAACATTTTGTGCAAAATCTGATATATATGGTAACGTTTGTAGTTAAATTTGTCTAGTCAGCAAACCTACATGTACATGTACAGTACGAAAAGTCAAAATATATAGTACTGATTTAATACTGAGAGATACAATATAGTTATGAATTCAGTATTGCATTCATATATTGTAAGTTTTTTCAAAAGGTTTGTTTTCTTTGACAGAACTGCTATCATCTATTAATAAGCAAACCTATTGTACTGAAAATAATTGTTTTGCTGATTTGATACTGACAGTTACATTACAGTTATGACTTCAGTATTGCTATTTGACTGTTTAAACATGTACCAGGAGCAGCAGGTTTAATCTTCCTGAGTAGCGAGGCGTGGACAGACGGCTTCAGCCCACAGGGTTCCAGGGATGTGCCGCTACCGGACATCACCTGGGGAATGAATGAATTATTAAATGAATGACACTATTAATGTATCGTAACACCATTTGGAGATACAATATGTATGGCACATAAAACGAGAAAATCGGGGGTTCAGAGATAACATACTGTAATTTGAAATCCCTTAATGTTTGCAATAGCAAAAGTACATAGTCTAAGAAAAAAGGACATTTCGCAAAACTATCTGTTTGCGGCGGCGGCAGTTGCAGAAAAAAGAAAGTCGGCGGTAATGTTAATTTAAATTTGCAGTACAGAAGTGAATGTAAAAACCACGAATATAAAAGTACTGTGAACAAATCGTGATTTGCAGTAATCAACCATAAACTGAACACAAAAAAAGGAATAAGTAAAACAGAATACAGTGCAGATGTACAGGGTGAACACTTACTGAAATCAGAGATCAAATCACAAATACCTGGTAGTAGTACAGGAGGGCTGCGTGGTCCGTGCCTGCCAGGCTGGGGTAAACACTCCCCTCCATCTGCTGAGCCATCTCATCAGGGGACGACGCCAGCACAGCCAGCGTGTCAGTCTCTGACAGTTTCTCCTCAATACTCTTCACTGGCAATCTGAAGAAACAAATTGTCGAAAACAATATTGTCACTAAGATATGAAAAATACTGTAAATTCCGATTTTTTTTGCAGTACTTTTATATTTGCGGTTTTTGAAGTCACTTCTTTACCATGCAGTTATCATCATTGTGAACAAATAATTTGCCTAATTTCTTTCTGCTACACCTGCCACCACTGCAAACCTATGATCCAGGTCATTGACCTCATGCATTTGGAATGGAAGAAGAAACTGTGCAAAAACAGTATGTTTTCCTTCTGCAAAGCTTAACATAGATATGAACAAGACAAAAGATTTGTAGACAGAGAGAATTGTGAAGCTCCTTATCATTTGTATCTTTTTAAGTTTTCAAGTCTTTAGATGATCAACCTTAGATTTATAAAATGAAATAAAGACAAGACATACTGGCTGTCAGTGAAGAGGAACTCAAGGTAGGCCATGTGAACCTCCCACACTGGGATTCTGTACTGGGTTGCCATGGAGACAGCTGCCTCTAACACAGACAGGTCCAACGTCCTACAGACAGACACATGACAAGGTTAGGGCTTTGCTTGCTGGATTTGTAATGTAAATATCGCATTAATCATCTGTGAAACATAACAGTATGTTCTACATGTAATTTTACTTCTTTCATGCAATTTCATTGAATCAAGATCAATAGCAGCATGTTTAATAACTTTTCCAAGCCACTCCATAATAATATCAGTATAGGTAATATTACATGCATAATTGTAAACATCAGCACATTGAATAGTTGAAAGAAAAATATTTTCTTTGGTTATGTAGCTAAGAACCCCTTATGAAGCTATTTGCAGGGGTAACACATGTATTTGGGTAACTTTTATGAAAATTGTATCTGATCAGTCTTTCATACTCACATTGCCAGCCCCAGGATGGTCTCTCTTTTGTACTCTTCATCAGATAAGAACCTTGAAACATCAACCCCTTCAGATAGGGAACAAAAATTGAAAATGAACTGTTACTAACAGTATTGTATTGTATTATGGCATTCGAGAACATAGTGTAATGTTATTATCTAGAGGTCTGGAGTGTATCAGTGTAACCTGCCCTGCTGTGTGCTTTTGTCCAAAAGGAGAGTGATGTAACCGTCCACACATGTAACCTTCCACACATTACCCAGGGGCAGGGACTTCAAGAAGATACACAAGTGGCTTGTTAGCATGGGGTAGCAGGGCATGTTACTTGCTGGTAATACATCAATTTGGGGTTCAAATATTGATTTTCTGTCTAGCAGGTACCTTTTCCTAGGTTTTTCAGCATGGACACCTGTGTGAAGTCTTGCAGAAGGCTGATCCACTCTGAAACCCTCTCCACAAACAGTTTAGACTCTTCTGAGGAGCACAGGTCGGAGTTCACCTTCAGTGTAGCCTTCAACAAACAAAACAAAACAAAACAAAACAAAACAAAACAAAACAAAACACAGTGTTACAATTAAGCTGTTTTAACTAACGAATTGTTCATATCTTACTTCTTGAATTACCCCTAAAGTGAAAACCAGAAAAACAGCACCTTTATTGATACAAATTATGAGTGCTAAATTTAAGTTAATTTTAATTCATTCATTCATTAATTCATTTTTACAAAGTTACTAAAATACATCATACTATTAGCTTGTTGTGCTACACTACATGTGCATCAAATCACTCTCAGCCCACGATTTGCCTATCAAAATGTGGGATTTTCCTATAGATTGCGAGCATTCTCCTCGACGGTCCAATCATGAACTTGGGCTGACGGAATAAAACTTTGAGCTGGCTAGAGCCCTGATCTACATGGTCTTATACAAAGTACATGTATCACTAAAATTTAATTTTGTTCTTACTTTGATTAACCATCTAGGAGGGTAGAGGTAGCAGGGGTTGACAGTGTCAGCAGTGATGGTGGGGTGTAGTCTGGTGAAGAGGGACACAGAGTAGTAGTAGGCAGCCAGCTGTAGGGTGATGGCAGACTGGGGCAGACGCTTCAGGCACTGCTCAGCCGTATCAACCTATGGGTACATAAAGAGATGATCCTTTTGAATGTGTGCCATTATTAGTAACATTGGGACAACATATTTTGTTTTGTTTGTTTTGCATATTAGTGGTAAGCCACCATTAGGCATAACGCACCAGTTTTGTACAATATGTACAAGCTGTGTAAGACCGGATTGTAAGGTTTGAACCACTCACACCAAAAAGGACCCCTATGCTCTTTTCGATAAGTGTGGTATCATTTTGATCTGCTCAATGTGTGGCTCTTTTTAAACATGGAACCTCCAGCTTTACATTCTATCTGAAAGGACTACAGGACTGTACTCATTTCTACTCATTTATAAAAATAAAGATAGTATGAAAAAATATATTCGACTGAAGCAGGTATACCTACCTCTGGTGTAGTAAGTAAGTGTGCCAACATCACAGTGATATCATCTTGAGCAGAAGCAACAGCCAGACCTAGTGGGGCTGGGGTACATATGTGATGAAAATACATATTATTTAGTCTTAAAGCCTAGTCGTACATAATACATAATACAGAATGAGAACTAAGTGGCCACTCTGTAGTTTTATACTTGATAACCTGAGATTTTGTTGAAGACTGGTCTTTTTTTAGGATAGGGTGGTCAGGATTTTTCAGCCTCTTGTTCATTCTAACTACTAGTATATTATGATCTCGTAATATTTTATCCCCCCATTTCCAAGCAAGAACAAAAAGACTCCTGTGACAGAACTTCTTCCTACATCAGTCAATCTGACTCTATATGTATATTAATCAGACTGTATAATCATAATGATGGTAATTGTTATGTCTGGGATGTACAGTTATGCATAATGCTTATATGTGTTAATTCTAATTTTGTAAATATCAATGTCATTCAGGCAACATTATAAGTACAAAATGTATGTGATAATTGAAATGTTGATATGATAAAAATTGGCACTACCTACCCTGTACGTCCACAGATGCCTGAGTGTGCAGGTTTGCCATGTGGTACAGGACGAGGCAGCGGAACAGTCTCCACTCCGGCTCTCTTGTGGCCGATCTCTCAGGGGCTGTGTAGAAACTAGAGAACACCTCCTGTGGAGGTCATATTATTATTATTCAAAAAATAATTATTCTAGTATTCATTCAGTACTAAGGACAGGTCTAAACCTTCATACTGTAATTGTGGGCTTTAGTAGTAATCATTCAGCACCAAGGACAGGTCTACACTATCACACCATAGTTGTAGGCTTTAGTAGTAATCATTCAGCACCAAGGACAGGTCTACACTATCACACAATAGTTGTAGGCTTTAGTAGTAATCATTCAGCACCAAGGACAGGTATACACTATCACACCATAGTTGTAGGCTTTAGTAGTCATCATTCAGTACCAAGGACAGGAATACACTATCACACCACAGTTGTAGGCTTTAGTAGTAATCATTCAGCACCAAGGACAGGTCTACACTATCACACTACAGTTGTAGGCTTTAGTAGTAATCATTCAGTGCCAAAGACAGGTCTACACTATCACACTACAGTTGTAGGCTTTAGTAGTAATCATTCAGTGCCAAGGACAGGTCTACACTATCACATCATAGTTGTAGGCTTTAGTAGTAATCATTCAGTGCCAAAGACAGGTCTACACTATCACACTACAGTTGTAGGCTTTAGTAGTAATCATTCAGTGCCAAAGACAGGTCTACACTATCACACATAGTTGTAGGCTTTAGTAGTCATCATTCAGCACCAAGGACAGGTCTACACTATCACATAATAGTTGTGGGCTTTGGTAGTCATCATTCAGTACCAAGGACATGTCTACACTATCACACTATAATTTGTGGGCTTCAGTAATAATCATTCAGTACCAAGGAAGTAGCAGTAGAAAGTCTTTTGCCAACAAAAATTACCTTGTTTTCCTCTGTACTGGGAATGACAGTTGCATAGAAGGGCTGAACTTTTTGATGCTGGATGGGTGCTGAGGCAATGGGCGTGTCGTCGCCCCCTAGCAGTTTGGCTCGTTGCTGCAGGCACTGCTGTATTGCCTCCATCCATTCCTGGCTGCCTGGTGTTTCCTGCTCTGTTTCCGACAGGTCTTCACTGTTGTAAACCATGTTCTGTAATGGAATCAAAAGCTTGGAGGCATATCCAAAGGATTGCTTCTGAACAAAACTTCGTTTTGTTATTAGAAAAAATACCGAAACCTGTGATTAGCCCACTCGATTGTTACACTTTGATTGTTAGACTTGTGATATCCCTTATTATTTGAATGATTATGATATAGATATGTTAGGTTTTATTCGACATTAGGTCTTATTCAACACACTTATTCTATTGTTGTTACTCTCTTTATGTAGTTTGCCATACATTGTACCATGTGCAATTGTCGTGCAATAAAGTTCTTCTATGACCAAAGGTAAAACAAAGTAAAGGTCCCATAGCCCTTTTGAGTCTGTAGGGGCAGTGGGCTGTTAATCCACTGCATCTAATACATGGTACATGTATTGAAGCCCATCCCTCTCCTTCCACCGTGTTTTACCTCTCCATCCGAAATCAGGTACCTATTTTATGACTGGATGGAGGGAGGAAAGTCTTGTAAAGTGCCTTTCCAAAGGACATACATATGTAACGTTACGTGTAGAATCTAAGCAGAAAAGCCAGAAATCAAGCCTGTGACCTCCCAATCTTAGCCGATCAACCATCTAGAGGCAAAAGAAGAAAATGTTGGAAGAGAAAATAGTCTACACCTATGCTTGATGTTCTGCCCTGTCACACAATGATTGAATAGTACAGCACCTAAAATGACATAAACAAGTTACATCAATCTGTTAATTTAGAAGAGAGTCTTACCTGCAGCATGATCTGGTTCCTAACCTTGAGGAGAGACGAGAGTTGATCAGGTTGACAGTGGGTCAGAGAGAAGGATAACAACTCCATCCTGTATTACAAACAAAAAGGATAAAGAAACTTTGTCATGTATAATATAATAATTATTGAGGAATACAATCATCATCAATCAACTACAATATTGACAAAACAAAACACTCTGATTTACAATATTATTTATTTATTTTACCAGTAGATCACACTCAGGTCTGTACAAAAAGAAAACATACAAAGCAATAAAACAGATTAATTTCATAAAATGAATAATGCTAACTTATGTTGAGAACAAGTCCTATTTCAAAGCTGCTGTTAAGTTTGATTGGTTTTTGGTTGTAAGAAAAAATACAAGTAGCACTACATATTATTTAAAAGAATAGAACATCTAGTATCTGGTTACTGTAAATTCAGCAAAGTACATAATGGAGAATAAATCTCTAACTACATGTTACTTTAGGTGTGGAAAGGAGGTGTTCATGGTATTTTAAATTTGCAATAGAAACATTTGTAATAATGTAGTGCAAGAGTATAATCTATACGTTTGCTGCAAGCATTAGACCACTAATAAATAGTTCATGATGTACAGTACCTTGCTCTGTAGTCTGTGAAGTTGTTATCTGTGGCCAGCTGTTGACACACCTGCCAGCCAGGTGCATAACCCAGGGCCTTCAGCTGCAGACACATCCTGCAGGTGTGGGAGTAGTCTGCTTTCTGTGAAATATCATGTCAAACAATGTGGTTAATCCCAAGAAGTGCTAAGCAGAGAAAGCAGTATGTACCATTATAAAGTCCTTGGCATGATTTGGACAGGGATCGAACTCACGACCTACCGAAAACAAGGCGAGCAGTGTACCCACTTGGCCATTGCACTGTTTTTTGAGAAAGAGTAAAGAAGCTAAAACACATCTGATTCACTGTGGACTAGCCCCCTGCTGTAGTGATTGCACAGCTGTGAGGCCAAAGGGGTATGAAACGGAGATGGGCACCGCCATACGCGACTATGCTAATGGTTGCAGGGAGGACTTGAAAACTTCAAACTTTTTTTAAGACTGAACCTGTAACCTGCCTAACCCTGTAACAAGAACAAGTAAAGAAATGGCTAATTTAGTGTGCTAAAGGATAATAAAGCATACCTTGAGTGCAGTCTCTGCTGCCAGAGTAAGAATCTTGCCGGTTCTTTCTTCTTTATTTCTGGCATGAATCATCAGGAGATCTCCTAGTTCCAACAACTAAAAAGAAAGAATGATAAAAATGACAATGATACAAAGTAGAGAGCAAGACAAAACAGGATAACCTAGATAAGATAAGACAAAGGTTAACATTAGATTCTATCGAAAGATGCTGGAGTTCATGAGCATACATGTACATTGTTGTACATGATCATTACATGCATACAAAAATCAAGTGAACCAAGAAGTTTCATAAGTTGCAACATTTGGTATTTATCATAATTATCAGAAAACGAAACCAAGCAAACATACCTTTCCAGACTGCTTGTAAGAGTTATTGTCACTGTCTAGAACTTTTGAGATCAGAGTCAGCTTGTCCTCACATAAACGAACTGTAAGAGGAAAAGGCAACTTTGTCTGCTACACAGTGGTATGCAACTTATAACATTCTAATTTGATTTGTATAACTTTGACATTTCATAGTACAGTACAATCTAAGGCTTCATGACATCTGCAAACTAATACTAACTGGCATAACATTATTATAGTAAAAATTAAGTGTTAACAACTTTTACACAAAAATTTGAAGACCAACATAACTGTAAAACACTGAACCAGAAAAAGTAAGGAAAACAAAATTACTTTGTGAAAAAATGATCAGATCTAATAGAGCCGTATACTACTTCTCATACTACCAAGAAAGCCATCCCAATACCTTGCAGTGGCAATATATCAACATGGAAGTCATCAAGCAGTTGCACAGCCTGCAGCAAGTCCAACTCCTGCTGGATAGTAGTTGGCACATCTTCTATCAGCTGGAAACATTTCCTGAAAAATCCATTCAAGATGTCCTTAATGGCCAATTCACATGGATCAAGTCTATGCATCTTTGCATGCAGAAAATCACTGCCTTTTCAGCTTAATCTGGGTATACTTACTATAGACTTAAACATATTTTTCTAGCTTTTAAAGTGAAAATTGTAAGGTCCTAAACTTACTACTAACAGTAACTGGTATCAGGAACACCATTGAATCTGTATCTGTAGTTAGTAACACTGACCTTGCAAGGTCCAAACTGACATCTGTGGATTTGGAAGCAGAGTTGAAATATTCCTGTCCTGCCTTTAGAACCAGGGCTACGGTCTGCTCATGGGAAACCTGGGGAGGGGTGTGTGTGTGTGATTGGGGTTAGAACTTAAGATAGGGTTCACTGTGCAGCTGATAGCCATAAACATTCTCGTACAAAGAATTTAACATTAAGAAATAAATTTCCGTAAATAATTTCATCAGGTTGGAAGATACTTAGGGTATAGAATTTTCTTCTTACACAACCAGTAAGGTTCTCACCTGCTTACGTCAGAAGCTCTGAGGAAGGTGTCTGATAGACATCGAAACGTAAGCAGGTGAGAACCTTACTGGTTGTGTAAGAAGAAAATTCTATACATTAAGAAATAAAGATAAAGAGAAAGTAATTGCTAAAGTACATGTGTCAGAAATGATGGAAAAGTATTTGGACATATAGAATCTTTCTTCCTCTTATTATTACTGATTTTTTCTTTCTCCTTTCTGTTTTATTTGTGTCCTTTCTATCTCTTTCTTTCTTTTTTTCTTTTCCCTTGTCTTTTACTTTCTTCTCTTAAGAAAGAGACTGCAACATTTTGTATATCCTACCAGAACATGTACTGTATTTGATATATAATTGTTGGTTGGTTGGTTGGTTGGTTGGTTTAAGATGAATTTCATGGTAGGAGGGCAAAGGAAATGTTCACATTTTTTTAAAATTCCCAATTGAAACCAACCATGACAAAGTTTCTGTAATGAAACACAAGAGAGAGCAATTATGTTTGCAATGTGACAATGAAAAAAAAAACCCACAGATATTTCCAGTACCTTAGGAGTGATGGCCTGTGCTGAGGGTGCTGCCACTGTCTGTCTCTCCTCCTCTGCATCACAGATCATGATGTCCTTTGCCAGGATGATGTTGTCTTCACATCCACAGGTCAACAGCGACTCCGCAAGGATCTGATGGACAAGTGTTCATCATACAGCCTGTCAGCTTACTTGTAGTTAGACTCAGATCTTTCCATTGCTAGTGTCACAGTGAACAGCTTGCAACTACCGCTTTCGTTTGCAATATTGTTACACTTACTGTCTACCAATAAATATGGCCGCCATGTCACCACACTCACATAAATGTACAGAATCAGATGTGGATGTGAAGACAACATCACTCACATAAATGTACATAATTTCTGTACATTTATATACATATATACACTGACTTAGGGAATTAATTATATGTGTATCCAACTGTAATTTTTGTAGTAAGTTATCATCTTTGCATAGTAAATACATACATTGTATTTTCAGTTTCAAAACTAGAGGTCGGAGATCTCATGTCTTCGTCAGAGGTACATCGTTCTAGAGAAATTAACATGCGTATTCTTCACTCTTTTTAATAATCAATTTGGTCTAAAGAACAAAAGAATCTCTCTACTATTTTTATGGTACAGAACACCCTGAAACGGTTTGCCGCAGATTATACAGATGCGTCGTCACCCGTGTTAGCCCCCCCCCCCCACGTTATTTGAGTTTGGACTGTTACTGGAAAAAAAACGTTCAAGAAATTCTTACTGTGTTGAAAGTGTCACGACAGCGCCGCAAAATATAATAAGAGAAGATGTTATAAAGGAACGAATCAGAACAGGGTGACTACTGCTGTTTTGTTAATTTGTCTTTATGACAAATAGAAGACTTGTTTCTTGTGTTCTTTGTGTCCTAACATTTGTACTTCTACAGTTAGTATATTCCAAATCTAGTCATCTCGTTTTTCGGCCCTTCGTGTTTTTATTGCGCGCTTGCCTTAAATTTAAGGTAATTAGATTTAAGGTCTCCAGTGGACGTCATCCATAGCAATTACTTGGTGTGGCCGGCCGTAGAAAATAACCTGACATATGTCCAACCTGTCCTCCCCCTGCTGAAGTTATAGTACAATCACTCAATGTAACGTCATTTGATCCCATCCCATTATGGGGTTCCCCGCTATATCCAGCTGTCGGCTGTCTCCAAGCAGATGTAGGTGGGGGATTTCTAAACAAAAAGGTCCTATTACGGGGACATAACGACCTCCACGACTCTCATCTTTGAACTCAATCTTGGAGACCACGACAGTAATATGCCTATCAAATTTCATTAACTTCCATCCACACATACAAAAGTTATCCTGCTCACAAGAAAAATTAACAAAATGCCCCCTGTAGCCACAACGAAACCCCCCACGAAGCTCAGTAACGAACTTAACCTTGGTCCCGACAATAGTAAGCACCACACCAAGAATTATAATCAACATTTAACAAATACTTGAGTTATCTTGCTAACAAGCCACAAACACAAAAGGTGCACTAACGTGACGCACGGACCCCCCACGAAGCCAAAACTTGTACTTGACTTTGGCCTTAACAGCGGTAATCTGCCTGCCAAAAATCATGGACGTCGAATCATGCCTTCCAGAGTTATATCGCAAAATCCGCAGTTCCCCACACTCCGGCGAGACAATTTCATAGTCCTTCTGACGAAGACAACAAGACTATCTGTTACTACGTTTTCCTTATTATCACGTGCTAAGTTGTCAAAAGTATCATCTTTAAAAAATGGTGTCCACTAGTGTTTCAGCTTGTTCAGTTACAGGTACACCAGACATTTGGGTTTATACAAAATGTACTTAAATAATTTCACAGAAACCTATACACAGGCATACCACTGGCTACTAAGGATTGAGGTCTCCCGTACCTCATAACACAGTGAGGAATCCAGGCAATGATAAACCTTCTTCTGCAGGTCCAAAATGTCCCGTAGAACCTCCTGACATTCACCCTTAGTCAGGGACTGCTTCCTAAAACACAAATGGACAAAGGTTTGTTTAGCACTCAGGACAGCAACATGGTTAAGGCAATTGTTGGCTCCTAGGGATGGTAATTTTCTTTGAAAAATTGCATTCAGTACCAGAGAGAAACACTGATAAGCATCAGTAGGGCAGAACTTCAATGCAATTGACCATTTGTACATGTGTATAAAGAATTCAAGACTGTTTTTAGAGATACTCTGTCCTTTGGAATGCCATTCAGCACCGAGGACAGCAGCACTCAATAACACTGAGGACAAAGCTTCACTGAAAAGACTGACTTGTTATCAAGGATTTTAAAAGTTGAAGTAAAGATTGCTAGTATACACTTCTAGGGACACTCTATCCTCTGGATTGCCATTCAGCACCAAGGACAGTGCCATCTGCACAATCAACTTTTCACATTAGTGACAGAACTTGAGAAGTGAAATATAATAATCAGTGTAAAACAAGTACTCATTGACTTCTGCTTCAACTCATTTTACTTATTTTTAGTTATAGAAACCTTTAAAAATATTCATATTTTGGATTGACAACAGTACTGGAAAAGTGCAAGAACATGTGACTTACTTGTTTGTAATCTGCTTTGTCAGTTGAACAAACAGTTTTCTGGCACAGTCTTTGTCATCCTAGGGATTAAAGAAAATCAAGTAATACAAGCAAGATCAAGACTATGTTTTCCTTAAATTTTCTGTAAAAATGAAAAGTCTAATATTGTTGCACAATTTGGAAACAATAATGACATTAGATATACATGATTTACATACTAGTAAGTGTTATGATTTGCTCAATCCATTAACTACAAACTCTAAGGTTTTATTACAGGTTTATATAACAGGTATAAGCTACATATGTACACTATTGCCAGCTGATTAACATAAAGTCTGTAGTACACACCTGTGTATCTCTGATGTTACAGACAGGTTTTAACACTCCATGTTTCTGTAGTACTTCAGCAGCACTGAAATAACAAAAATATTTGTCCCTCAGAAGCTGAGTAAAAGGAAGGTCACATTTAGCTGTTCATATACCACATAACAATACACAGTCAAAAAAGATAATGGCAGAAAACTCTGCACATACATTTGTAGAAAGGACTCATACATTTCTAGCCATAATGCATTCCACAATGTACCAAAGAGAAAGTCTTGCCTAGAGCTGAGGTACATACTGCTTCTACACTAGAGCTTTCTCAGTGAAATTCCCACAGTTTTGATAATTTGATTAGTACTAAAGAGACATACATGTATAATTTACCAACCTGAGATGGGCTTCCAGCTTGTCAACATCATCATGAAGTCCAGCTGTCTTCTCCGTCTCGTTTCTGTGCCAAAGACAAAGGGTCAGAGTAAGATTTGGCTTTTATGATGACCAACAGACAAAATATAAAACATTACTATCTGACTGTGCATGATGAAATAATTCATTTTATTTCTAAAAAGAATTTAAAAAATCATTTCATAATACATTTAATATTGTACCCCCATAATCTTACACGCATGCACGGTTCCCAAAAGAAGAAAAATTATCATGTTGATACTTGCCCCTTGTGAATATTGAAATGCAAGCAAATTAAATGCAGGAAAACTTACAGTCATTCATTTTCCTGATAATATAGCTTTAAACATGGCCATTCAAATGATGTTTAAGCAATTGACTGCTGAACTATTAATAAACTAAATCTAATTTGAGATCTGACTTACCCAAACCCTCTCTGTGGAAGACACTCCAAGATGGCAAATGCATGTGACAGTTGTTTGCTGCTCTCACATGTGTAAATACATTCCAATGCTAGGGACATGAGCTGGTCAACCTCAGGGATAATGGGCACAGCCTCCTAGATAAAAAAAGAAGTTGTTAAGAATTATAGGAAACAGATTCCACTAAACACTACAAATTTAAAATGGATGTTTTTCAGTCACTGAAAGAAAAGCTCAGAGTCCTGTTGTTACTTAAGTTTAGAGAATTGTTTGGACCACATACCTCAGGCCTGGAACTCTGGAAAATCTTTACCACCAGCGACAAGTCATCCTGATAAAACAAAGTACACAAAAACAATACTCAAGACTCTTAAATCAATTGCAATCTATTTGTACATGTATGTCAGGGGATGAAGATTACAGTTGAAGACAACTTAGTTTTTGACTTTAGTTTTATGAACCTTGCATCAAATGTACAAAACTGGTGAGCCAACAAATTATCATTAAAATATTACTTTAAGTTAATATCTTATTTTTGTCTTAAGGCAACTTACTGCATATGCAAACAAACAAACATACATACAAGAAACAAACAAAGCTGCTGTTGACTCACTTTTGCAATCATGACCATGTACTCTTGCAGTAGTTTGGTGCCACTGTTGGGCTTCTTAGCATCACAGCGCTGGAGGAAGGGCAACGCTCGGTGCCGTATGTTCTTCATGTACTCACTCGCACTAGACTGGATAAAAGACAGATATGAAGAATATGTGAAATGAACAAGTTAAGCATTATCTTTTGACAGGAGACCAGTCCTATTTATCATCTATCAGATTGGCAACTCAACAAGACAGGAAAAAAGGAAGGGAATTTCAACCCAGTTTAAGCTCACTGAAGAGCTGATCTCACGTTGGTCATGACAGAGAAGACAGACGCTATGTACAGTATTTACAGGTTCATTGAACCAGGGAAATTCCCCTGGCTCTTTTCAACAAGCACAATGAACAGTGGACCACAGATTAATGTCCCGTCCTAGGGACTGCAACCCTTTCCAGTAGTGTGTATGTTGGGTGAGTGACAACAGCCGGGATTCAAAACTCCTAACCTGTTAATCCAGAGGCAGGGTCGCTAACCACTGGACTATGTACACTACAGTTTCTATTAGTTAGCTGAGGAGAACTTATTTAAATCAGAGAGGTCAGAGGTCACCAACCTGGGCACCACCCAATTTTCTAGTCTCCCAGGTATCTTTTCTATCAACTAAGTATCTTTTTAATCCTTCAACATTTGCACTTCATTTATAAAGCAAGAGATACTTCTAGTGATTGTTAATGTACTGTATCAATATAGTCACAAAATTTTTAGCCAAATTGTGAAATTCTTGCCTTAATGTTTTTATCAAATTTTCCTGGGGAGGGCACCCTCCAGTGTGGCACTCTGACTTCCTCTCACCTCGACATTGTTGTTTTATGGCTTCTATGATCTAGATTACTAATAGTTTAGAGGTTTTAGGCAGAATGAATGTATTTTTGTATGTGTGTTCCCTGCTGGTTTGCATTGTAATGATGTTAGCGAACTCTCTTCATGTGATTTATCTTAATGCTAGAAGTGTTAAATCTGTTAACCAGAGTAGGAACAAATTAGTACAGTTGGCAAACCTGATTCACCTTAATGCTCCAGATCTCATTGCAATTACTGAACTTGGTTGACACCGGATATACACGATCAAGAGGTAATTCCACCTGAATTTGCTACGTATCGAAAGGATCGTCATGATACTCATAATAATAAGTCTGGTGGGGGGATCCTTTTTGCTGTTAGATCTTCTTTATGCAGTAGTCGTAGGCAGGACCTGGAGCCACAGGACGAGATACTTGTATGTGAAATCCATCCTCCAGCCATTGGTAAAATCGCTGTGATTCTATGCTATAGACCACCCTCTGGTAACATGACAGCTTTCACGCACAATCTGGACTTGACTTTGGAGAGTGTGCACAAAGAGTACAGCATGTGTTGTGTTCTTGGGGACTTTAACATGCCACGAGTTGACTGGGATAATTGTGTTGTGACCAATGAGGGCAAGGAGGCCGACTTTTGTAACATGATCAACAACCACTTCTTAAAACAAATCAACCAAGTTCCCTCCAACTCCAGACACAACCTATTAGATCTTGTTTTTACGGACTTCCCAGACAGGTTCTCCACGATCAATGAACTACCCGCCGAGTTTGATACTGATCACACCCTACTTGAGTTCTCTCTCCACTGTCGTGTACAACCCAAACATGGGCTGCCCCGTAAAGTGTTTAACTTCAAGCGAGCTGATTGGAGCGGTCTCAATACTCACCTGGAGTCACTGGATCTATCTGAGGCAGTCACTTGCCACCATGACATTGACTCTGCCTGGGAAGCGTGGTCGTCAGCCCTACAATCGGCTGTCGACATGTTTGTGCCTTGTCGCAAACTCAAGACATCCACATCTCCTCCCTGGATTGACAGTGAAGTTCGTGACTTGCAGAACAGAAAACGGACAGCGTGGAGAAAGGCTAAGCGAACTGACTCCTCCTCACACTGGGCAAAGTTTCGTAAGCTACGGAACAAGCTGAAGAACATGTTGTCGTCCAAGTACAACAAATATCTTGTCAGCCTGTCATCCACCCTTCAGGAGTCGCCTAAGAGATTCTGGGCTTTTGTACGAGCAAAGTCAAAGTCCAGGTCTTTACCGGCTGCCGTTCACCTCAATGATTCTACCGCCCAGTCTGCACCTGATAAGGCTAACCTGTTCAACAAGTACTTTTTCTCCACCTTCACTGCTTCTGACCCTAATGTCATTAAGCCTAATATTGATGTAAAAGTTGTTGATAACTTGTGCAATTTACAGTTAAATGTTGAATCTGTTGAACATGTACTTGCCAATTCGAACACCAACAAGGCAGTAGGCCCAGATAACATATCTGCACATGTACTGAAGAACTGTGCTAAGGCTCTTGCGCCGTCTTTAACTATTTTATTCAATAAGTCGATTTCGCTTGGTCAGGTTCCTAATGAATGGAAGACTGCTAATGTTTCACCTGTACATAAGAAGGGTGACAAGGGGAATGTTGCTAACTATAGACCCATATCCTTGTTGTCTTTGGTTAGCAAAGTAATGGAACGTTGCTTGTATGACACTGTTTTTCCTATAGTACGCGAGTCCATCCACGACTTTCAACATGGATTTATTCCTGGCCGTTCCACCACCACCCAACTCTTAGAAACTTACCATAATGTAGGGGCCATACTAGACAGAGGGGGGCAAGTAGATATGCTATTTCTTGACTTTGCTAAGGCTTTTGATTCCGTCTCCCATACTCTGCTGATTCATAAGCTACAATCATTTGGCTTTGGGGGGAATCTCTTAGCCTGGTTCAGTTCATATCTCACTAACCGTCGTCAGAGGGTGGTGGTTGAAGGTTGCCATTCTCATTGGCTTCCAGTAACATCTGGTGTTCCCCAGGGTTCCATTCTGGGGCCCTTTCTTTTTCTTTTATACATAAACGACTTGCCCTGTACAGTTGAATACTCCTCCGTTGCTCTTTTTGCAGATGACTCCAAATGCTTTCGGGAAATTTGTAACATGAATGATTGTTCCAAGTTGCAGGACGATGTCACAGCCATGTGCAATTGGAGTTTAAAATGGAAGATGTCGTTTCACCCTTCCAAATGCAAGCTGTTACGTTTGACCCGTTCTAAGAGGCCAGTCCTGTATACATATTGTGTTTTTGATTCCATTGTATCGTCTGTTGACAGCATGAATGATTTAGGGGTTATTGTACAGCCAGACTTACAGTGGGACAGCCACATAGTGAAAATGGTTGCCAAGACGAATTCCATGATTGGCTTCATCAAACGGACTGTTGGTTTCAATGCTAACACTGATGTTAAGAAAGCTCTATACACCACACTGGTCAGAAGCATTCTTGACTATTGCTCCCCATTGTGGTCGCCACATTCTCGTAAATTTATGTCTCTAATTGAAGGGGTTCAACGCCGGGCAACCATATTCATTCTGGGCCCTCAGGCTAGTCACCTTACCTACAAGGAAAGGCTAGCAACAACAGGGCTGTTGCCACTTACATGTAGGCGTGAGGTATGCGATATAATGTTATTTGTCAAATCAAGAGCAATCATAGAGAAATATATCACACTTCCCACCAGACCCACGAGGAGTCTTAGGTCGTACATGCTTACACCTGTCAGATCTAAGACGTCAGCGTTCAGTCACTCCTACATTCCCAGACTTGTAACTATCTGGAATAAGTTAGGTTCTGACCTTCGTGGTACTGGTGTGCGAGCCGCTCATCAGTCTGATATCATAGCATTTAAACACAAACTGGCAAAAGTAGCCTACAACAGATTCAACACTCAATACAGTCTTGATCTGCCATGTACCTGGACCACTTCGTGTGGATGTAGCTCTTGTATTGCCTCAAGACCTCACTAGATATCGTTCCGATATGGTCATCTCTTCCATTCATTGTTGTTACCTTGATTATGTTTATATGATATTTTGTGCCCTACTTGTATTATAGATTGTTGACTGTGTAATGTACATTCTTGTTGTTTTTGTATGTGGGAGGGCAACTAGCAAAGGTGCTTCGCACCTGTTTTGCCCTCCCTTTCACTTTGTGAAAAATTTAAATAAACAAATAAACAAATAAACAAATAAATGAGCTGACATCTAAGTTTTCTAAATACGATTTTTAACATTATAGAGTGTCTATAGAGCTTTTTGAGTACCATGATCAGCCATGCTATGACCTCACCTGTGCCATGAGCAGCTGTAGTCTGTCAAGGTCAGAAAGCGTCTGAAACTTCTGAAGGTCGACTACAGAATCCGGTTGGCATTCATACACCAGCATCTCCAGGGTAACCAAGTCATCATGGAGAAGCTGCAAGCCCTGAGGGGAAAAGAGTTATTTTTCTGACTTACAGAGATCAAGTGATTCTCTTTCAGTCTCAATTGACATATGCCAATTGACATGTAGCCCATAATCTGGCCATGGTGGCCTTGAGTATAAACCCTTATCTTGCTCTTGCAGAAAACATCACTAGCAGGCAGGTGCTTGACTGCCATGCTGGTGTCCCTATTTGCACGTCAATTAATCATAGCTCCAGCATTTTGATTTGTGTTTTATTGGCAACGAAAGTGTAGTGAGCTGTAGTGAGTCAGCAGTGCTTATTTGGACAATCCTATGATGCTTGAATTATGATCCACTGAAATGCAAATAGGGACACCAAGATGGTGGCAGTAACAGTGATGAAGTCACATGAAAATGCCCTATAGTTAACTTGTGTCTGCACCAGCACTAGATTTAATTGAGAAAGTTCATCACAAAGAAGGGACAGGGACACTTACCTGGACCTCTCTCTCCATGCCAAGCCTCACTAGCTCCAGTGCATTGTCCACCTGATGAGACAGGGCCTCTATGGCCGTGGCCCTCTCCTGGTACCACTGGGACACCAGGCTCTCCTCAGGCAAGGTCACCCTGGGTGGTGGGTATAAGTTGAATAGTATAACAGAATACAGTCATGTCTATGTTAACTCAATTACTAGTCTTGACTGTGCAGTAACCAGTTCGAATGTTTGAATCTGTTGAAACTCCATTGCATAAATTTGTAGTACAGTATATTCCATAAATAAACCAAACCATGGCCAAAATAACAGTTACAGTAATAATTTCTAATCAATGAATTATTGCTGCAGCAATGCATACAGTAATGTAGTTCTATGAAAACATGTCACCATATTAAATTTCTTCCTTTTACACTTGATACGTAAGTATGCAATCGCATTCACAATTATTGAGTCTGCAGTGCGTAATCAACAGAAAATAAGTATCATCATTGTTTAGACACCTATTAGTAAAAGCAGTACACTTACCTGAACTTTTCCATCTGTGTGTTGTTTTCATACAAAAATGCTCCTGGGTCCACAACCAAAGGTTCCACAGCATTTCTATTTAAAGACAAAGACAGTTAAATGAAGGTTGTACTCACAAACAAAATATAGTACATGTAGCTGTGAGATAATCAAAGACAATTTTCATTGCCTTCACAACTGACCCTCAGAAAATTGCCACTCAATGCAAAATAATACAATAATTCTGAAGTTAGACAACTGTTGAGAAGACAGGCACACTATCATGTTACCTGCATGGTTCCTCCTCACACCAGTCTTTCTCTCGAGGTTTGTTTTCCTTCCACTCTTCCAACATTGTCTGAGTTTCCTCCACACTGTAGAAAAAAACTTTAGCTTTCTTAGCAATCTACATTGTTTATCAAATTATCTCAACACCACAAGGACATATAATATCTCTGTGAGTTTTTTGTGAGTTTCTTGCTTTATTCATTCAGTGTGTGAATTTCTTTGTTTATATATATGGATTTTACCACTGCCACCTTGGCCACTACGGCCAATTTCCTGCTTGATCTGAGCCAGCATCCAACTTGACTTGGTCAATCTGTGGTATCCAACTCCTGCCAATCTAAAACTACTCACCCACATGTACATGTATGGACACACACACAAACAAATCCAAAACAATATCTCCATACCTGGAGATAACAATGATAAGAGAATAATATTGTTCAAAATGTTCATACCTTGCCACTGGCAGAAGGGTTTGATATTCAAAAGGACTTGTAGTCTCTGGAAAGTTGGACAGGATAGCTAGCCTTAAAAGAAGACATTGGCACAAATGAGCATTGATTTGATACAAGAATCCTTTATAAAAAGAAATGGCCAATCATCTGAAATATATTCAACATTATCATGTTGCCACCACCAGAAAGTGGCCCATGAATGTACAACACATATAAACAAATAGCTCTGTTTTGTAATAAGTAATTATTACAAACTAGATACAATATTGTACATGCTGAATAACCATTAAGGATTACATTTAAAAATGATAAATATCTCACCTGTGTGGCATCAGGTCTTCATAATGGTTTGCAAACAGTATTTCTACTGACTGCCATTCGTTTTTCTGTGGGGAGATTTGGAAAAAAAACAAAATGGTCAAAACCTTAGCCCTAGTTTCAATTGATGGATTTACCTATTTTATCTTCATATAAAAAGAACCTAAAAAAAGCCATATATAGGACTAGTACTGTTTTTCCCATCACATAAGTTGTTTGGTTCACAATCAAATCTTGACTGTAATTTGTAAAAAACTGTCTGGTACAAGTACCAACCATTCAATAGTAATATCATTCAGTAGTTGACATCATGATTCATGTACCTGCAATGGCATCATTATTCCATGATTACTTTATACTCTTGCACAATAAAATGATACATGAGCACAAACAAAAGCTACATGTACATTTAACAATCATAATGTGACATATTGTCCACTATAGTACACATTCATGCCAAATTTCAGTCCTAACCCTAACCCTTCCTCCAGTGCAGGATACAAACAGTGCTCACCCTGGCCATTTCCAGTGCTAACTCCACGATGTTCTGTTGGCGGAACACACTGAAGTACTGACTGTTGTACCTCTCCGCTGCCTGCTCACCTCCACCCAGAATTTCCTGGTAAAAATTACATGTACTCAGTAATGCCCAATTTTTTACAGTGGTACTTTTATGTTGAACTTTGTGGTTTTTGCAGACAACTCTGTAACCGGAAAGATATAATTTGCCGACTTTCTTTTTTCTGCACCTACCGCCACCATGAACATACATGTATAGTTACGCAAACATCCATTTTTCTCAAACTGCGAACTTTTGTTAACGAGAACATAAAGTGAATTACAGTATTCAGATTTTTTACATCCACACAAAGCAACCTATGAATCTTTGCAAAAATGCAGGTATAACCTTCTCCCTGCAGCCTATTTAGATAACCAATACCAATTTGCTGCCAAATTGTTACCATAAGTTAGTAGGATGAAGGTTAAGCTTAAAATCTAACAAATTTAAGATTTTTTCCAACAGTTGAGGAAAGACGATAAACTTGAAAGTTCTTACCTCATATGTGTAGAGACGGTCTAGGTACACCAGGATTTTTTGTCTCACCCGGCATAAGTCACTCTGCTCATAGTTCAGCCTGAAAGAAGGTGTACTATGTCATTAATTTTAATATCAACAAGGATCTTCAGGTGCATTGAAAGTGATTGTCATACATGTATTTCTGAAAATAATTCCATCAGATTAGTAGAACAAAGGATATTGGCTTTTTCTTATACACAATAAGAGATTCGTCATCCACAACATCCGCGACATTTTTCATAATTTAACTGAAGCAAAATGGATACCAGGTTAATAGTGACTGTGCATATTGTCAGCCCCATGTACTATAACATTACATACATCTTAGACACACAGTATCTGTTACACAGTGTTTTTGAACACCTACTTGCTGAAGTCCACCTTCTCCAGCATGGCTTCCTTCTGGGCCTGTTCTTCAGAATCACTCTGGTCAGCGTTCTCCAGACTACCCCACGCTTCTGTCTCATCTTCTGTTTTCCTGTCAGAACAAAAAAAAGAACTTAACTTCTAATACCTTAGGACAGGGCTTAGGTGCATATGAACCCAGTATTCTGAGCCCTGCTTAGAAGAATGAGAAATATAACAAAATATGTCTAATGATCATAGTGAATCTGGGTGGCAATGTAGTACAATGTAGTTCTATTAGTACCTAGTAGTGTCAAATCGTTTGTGTGCACAATAACACAAATTAACTCATCGTTCTGACAGCCATATAAGTGTGGACTGTCACTCACAAAAGTTGCGTAGTACCTACAAGTTACATTCTGGTAGGAAAGAACAAGACAAGGCTTGAAGGATGTCCTTTTGAAGGACATATCGCCTAAAACATGCAAAAAAACATGTAAGAAGCACAATTAATTTTTGTATCGATGCAAGTGCTGATTGACATATTACGTACTTTGTGCCCTCCGTTCCATCCAGTGTAAGTAGAGTGTTGACGTCTGACCGGCTGAGTCCGTACTCTAACAGTTCCCTGGCAGCGTCTATATCCTCAGGCACACGCTCCAGACATTCATGCAGAACCCATCTCCTCTTCTGGATCTTAGTCTGCAGTTGGAAACGGTAGATAGACTTACTGTACATTCATTAAAGTTCACAGCATGAGAATAATCTAATTTTGCAGTAGGGGAATTTACATTGTGAATATTTCTTTTCTGACATTAGTTTTAATAATAAGCTCAGCTTGCATGCATAAGTGTATTATAAATCAGTATGTATTCCCTAGGCTAACTGAAAAGAATACGTTATAACATGATGTAATTCACAGTAGAATACAGGACCATATGAATCTATCATTTGTATGCACAAACATGGGAATAAATCCAAACCAATATAGGAAACAGTACAAATTCTTCATTTCTTAGACCTACTACAGTAACTATTGTTTACTTTTGGCCAAGAAAACATGCATGGATACTCTATTGTATTGTACTAACTTGATACACAATGGATAGCATGTATCAAAACTAGACATTTACAGTTTAGCAAAAAAGACAACACAAGAAAACACACACCAGGTAGTCTTGTATACTGGATATGGAAACCGGGTGTTTGTGCCACTGTTTCTGATACACCAGATCACTGTCCAGTCCATACGCTTTGGCCAGGCTTAGAGCTTCTCCATACTCCTCATTCTCAAGCTGGAAATAATAGTAATGAATCAATTTAAAAATGGAAATATGGTCTAGTACAGGTACATTGTATATAGTATAATATCAAGATAATTTGGTAGCTACTGTAAGTTCTTTCAAATTTGTGTGGACTTAATTTTGCTATGATAATAATCATAGATTTCACATTTGGATCTGTAGCTGTAGCTGTAGGTGAATGTTGTTGACTCGAAATATGATGATGCAAAATCAAATCCTGTAATTAATTGATTTAATTTAAAGAAGTTCACACTGACCTTTCGTTCAAAAAGCTCTTCAGGTGTTGTCGACCGTAGACTCATCAAACAGTAGCTAAAGTGTACAGCTCTACAGGAACAACAGAGGATTAGGCTTAAAACATACATGTAACATTCAAGGCAAAGGGACAGGATGGCAGAAAACAATACAGTGAGGATCTGTGAAGAAGTTGCTGTATATGTTTACTAAGTTTTTAGTGCAACAATCTGTCCAGTTTTTATTACTTTCTGTCATTTTTCTTTTCAATTTCTTTAATATTTTTAACTCCCAGTGCTGAATTTCACAAACCTTGGTTTCTTCCTTGGAAGAGAAATTCTGCCACCTTTAGCCAATCCGATGACAACCTGAAACAAAACCAAGCAGACAACTTAAAACATCTCCTTCTCAATAGTTACACAGTAGTCTCTGTTATTTAAACACCATGACAAGTTGATTAGGTTGAAAGCTGTAGTTGACTACACTGAATGGCAACAAGTAGCTATATGAGAAGACATTAGACAGAATGACCAAAGGTTATCTGGCAACTATCTCTACTATTATCATCATTAAGGGACTGCTGCCATGTTACCTGTTTGACAATCTGTGCTGCCTGCATGATTCTGGACATGTCTTCATCATCATCATCATCATCATCTGCCCCCTCCCCTCCACTACGCTCTGGCTTCTTCTCTGTCCTCTCAACCTATAGCATAATCAGAAAAAAATTCTTGACAAAAATATTTTCTAGTCTTGTTCAGTTTTTTTCAATGAATCTTGAGCCTTGAAAATGTCCCTAATTTTCCAAGAACATCTATAAGCAGTGTAAGCAATGTTAAAGATATCTTCAAGTTGACAAAAATACGTTAAGTTTCTTTCAATGAATGAAATTGCATTGGATGCCTTCAAATTAAAGAACAGTTAAGTTACTCATTCCACTCCAAGTCTAAATTGTTTAGAACAAGCAGCAATTCAATTGCAATAAAACAAATTTAATTCAGAATCTGGACTCCAGGCCAATGACTCCAGAATACCCAATTAAGTTTATACTTTTATGGAGTACATGGCAGAGGGTGACAAATATGCAGAATGTTTTAATTGGTACCTAGGGAGTATTCCAATTATCAATGATTATGTATACATGTACATATTATAATAGACAGATAAGATGACCTCTAGTGCCAGGAACTCTCCGTCCACAGCTGCAGACACCTGTGGTCCCGGCTCAAACCACTCCGGTGACTCTCCCAGCAGGTTGTCCAGGGACTCCGTGGAGGAGACGGTGATAGCCCCTGACTGACGTGCCATGATCAAAGCCTCGTCAGACCACCAGTTAACATCCACCAGGGGGAAGGATGAACTCACACCTGCAGGGGCGAAATTACAGCTTTTGTACATCCTCGTCCCAGGATGTTGGCAGAACATACTGCGCCTGCACAAAACCCTGATTTTTCACGGTTTTCATTGGATGTTTGGTCAACGTTGCATCGGAATTTTGCCTGGTGCAGACAATATCTTTTCCAACATAACATTTGGAAACTACAGACGGGATGTTAACCTTATATGCACGAAGACAGAATTTTGAACATTAACCTTAAACGGAAATCAAACACTATCCAGAAGTAAACTGTCTTGATAGCTAAATACAACACGTGTAGATAGACAAGTACATTTAATGTGTAACAAAATTGCAATTTTGCATTCTTTGAAATGAAATCCCCATGGATAGGTAGAGATTAACCTTCCCCCTGCTGATTGTGCCCAGAATGAATACAGCCAAATGCCTACGTCAGCATGAAGAAGGTTAAATATAATCTGTACCTTTATTTCTCCTAGCCAAGGCTCCCCCGAGGTTAGGGTTGACCAGGTCACAGCCAGGCTGCTGCTCCAGGTGCCAGCACTTGTGCATGCGGAGGGACGGCAGCTGCCACAGACACAGCTGTCCTGACAGGTGCACTGTGACCAGCAGCTGTCCATCAGGTGACAGGTGCATCTGCACAACTCCATCCTAAGTTCACCAAATAATAAAGGTGAAATAAATATCATCCTAAAGTAATCTTTTGCATGCTTAGTACCACAATATAAATCAGAGAGATGAAAGAATGCTTCACAATAACATACAACTGTACAGGCACCAAGGCAACTTGTTAAAAACATCATTAAACTATCAACATGATAAATGTATCAGATTTCTAAATAGATATTCAATTTCCAATTAAGTGACAGAGAAAGACAGTATGTATGTACAGTAAAGGTCTTCAATCATTAATCTCTGGCTAACTATAATTTTTTTTATTCCATACTGTTATTAAAGTTAACGTACATTGATTTTCTACTATCCATAGAATGATACAAAATACTCCAGATGTCCAATGGGCATTACACCAAACATTGCAATGGAATGTTTTTTAAACACCACAATTGTTACCTCTATTCTCCAAGGGAAAATTAGAAAGAAAACCTTGCTCTACCTGTGGACCTTTCTTGAAGAGGCCAACCACTTTCAAGTGAGTCAACGATGCCAGACTTCTTGTCTTTTCCTGGAGGGTTGAACAAGTACCAAAAATAAAATACTGAATCAGATGTAAACAACATGTAAAATCACAACATCCCTGAACATTACATAAAGGGCACAGAATGACAAGATTTTTTTTTTATGTGGGCAAAACAGAAAAGACAGTCAGAAGGAAAGACAAACAACAAAGAATAACCTTCTGTCCCTCTGCTGTCCATGCCTCTGCCCTGGCGTAGTACGGGTACCCAGACAGCAGTCTCCAGCTGGTCAGTCCTGCTGTCTCAGCACTGCTGTCCTCATCAGGGGAGACGGACACACCTACAGGAGCATACACATGACACTTAGATTTACCCTCCAGTTTTAGTTAGGAAAAAGAAACCAGCAGTCATCCACTATTGAGGTCTAGCACAATGCTTTTTCTATTGGTTAATAGACTGCTGCAATGCAACTTTGCTGTGGCTTGCATTTTCAGCAAAGCACTAACTACTCTTATCAATAAGTATGTTCTTTAGTGTTCAAATGCGACTGAAATCCTCTTCTCAAGGACAAATTCAACATGTAACCAGTATGTGCCTGACACGTGGATCGAACCTACGTCCTAGATCTGAGGATTTTGATCCATATGGAGAATGCCCAGTTTACATTATTAGTAATAATGTAAACTGGGCATTCTCCATATGGATCAAAATCCTATATTACAATCAATATTACTTTGAGCTAATTATACAGGCAAACACTATTATCACATTGCAGTTCAGAAGAAAGTTCTAACACAAGAAGATTGTTACCAGTGAAGTTAGCGCTGCCCCCTAGCAGCAGCAGGCTGTGCTGCGGGTGGTACAGGATGTCTCCTGCCCAGCCTCCATACGCCTCCACTAGGTAGTGGCTGTGCAGCTCCTGGTAACCCTTGGTGTTACTGCAAGGAAGAAATAACAATTTTCCTACATCTGTCTTTCTGTTGAGGAAACAATAGGATTTATGTCAAAAGAAATAATATCCTAGAAAATATCCCACCTGACAAGATAACTGGTCAGTTTCCCCCGATAGTTCATCACAAGCAGCTCATATGACCTGTAAATGTAAAAATGAGCTCAGTTACCAAAAACAATGTACATATTCACACTAAGGGGTTCTTCAGGCCTGGGGGTACAGGGGTACTAGGCTCTCTAACATACTTTTGGCATGCACCTTGATACTACAAGGACCAATTCTACCAAAACTGGAAAGTTCAGATTAACCGCTACACTTCACCAGGCTAGGCCAAAGTCTGTTTAGCACTCATTAGGTCTGTCAATACAACTTTGATCAGAAGGCCTTTAATAGAATGACAAATTCTCACCAAAAATGTTCAGGTACAGTGTAAATCAAAAGGCTGAACATATACATGATACCCTTACATGTATCTAATACCCAATTCAATCACTTATATTCTTCTCGAGATAAAAAAAACACTGAATACATACAGAAAGCATATTGCTAACTATGCAGTTGTCAATGCATACAATATGTCAACATTGACCACTAACTACAAGCTTTATTCACAAACTAGTTTTGTACGTGACTGATTTTGTGTTTTTGTCCTTTTAAAAATATCTGTCACACATAAAACTGACTCAAAGGTAAGTAGAACTTCCATTGGATCCCATTGCATCCTGGGAGACATGGGGCACTATGGGTAGTGCAGGGGTCAAAAGTCTTACCAAGAGGGGTCGTCCTTAGCAGGAAGGAAGGCCATGCCTGATACAGCTGTTCTCAGGTCTGTTGGTCCGTTCGGTGTAGTTCTCTCCTAGAATCACACAAAGTTATCTATCAGTATACACCAAGTATAACAAGGTACCAAGAACGTCATATTTAAATTACCTCACTGTACAAAAAATCTTAAAATTAAGGGAGATAGAAAGGAATAGGACAACCAACAAGAATTGTATCATATAGATTTTATTGTTTATCCACCTAATAGTTGAACAAACGCCAAACACCAAAATTGTACAACAACTTAAAAACAGCAATATGCAATGAATTATGGTAACATTATTCATGTAATATACCGGTACAAGCATCTCATTCAGTTCATGTAGCTTATAACTTCCAACCTTTATATAACAAATTTTGTCTAGGTATGACTTGGGGCACAAAATAAACTTTCCTTCAATAACATGATGAAGTAAACACATACATACATGTAACTTGCCTACATGAGCACAAGGACTTGTATCCACTGCCTTCTGTATATAGTAAAAATATGTACTTGTACATGTGTGACAGAATTTTCTCTTTCATTATGCAAATCATGTCTTGATTCGCACATTTAAGCTCCTAATGTGATTTGCATACCTGAGGAATGTGTTTGCATACTTCATTTTAATTAATGTTCCCTTCTACCTAATTTACAGTGTAATTTCCATACCTGAGGAATGTTGAAGATCATTGCCCCCATGACGTCGTAGCCCTGCACACTGCCACAGCTGTCAGCGTACACCAGCATGACTCCGTCAGGGCTCCAGTACAGCTTACGCCACTGGGGGTGGGGGTCTGCTCCAACTGTCAGGTAAGGATGACATGTATCACATGTAGCTAGAACAGCTTTTTACTTTGCAGGGCTCAAAATACTTACAAAAAACATATAGTAATCTGGTTTTACTAGTAACTTCAATTTCATTTTAAAAAGCATGTAGTTAACATTAAATGTACTAGAAAGGCCAATATTTGCTTTGGAGCAAATACAGCGATGGGTTCACCACATTTTACGACATGGCAGGGAAAGAATGAGAAACACAAGGGAAAACAATGATTTACATTGATATAACTATAATATGAAGTAACATACAACTAAAACAACAGTTAGATAGCTATTCCCTACTTTATTGGTTAGGATTTTTAATTGCATAATGCAAACTGTTGATTTTCAAAATAAACAAAAAACGTACCATGCCCCGCATTCCAATGCTGGAGCAGGAAAGCTTGAAATACCTACCAAAACACTTGAATACAGACATACTGTCAGTATGGAAATGCTCTGTGCAGGTGTTAATCAAGTTAAATCCCAACAGCCAATCAGCAAGAAATGCTCTGTGCAGGTGGAAATGCTCTGTGCAGGTGTTAATCAAGTTAAATCCCAACAGCCAATCAGCAAGAAGAATAGAGGAAAGCTGCATGCCTATTGGTTGATGCCCTGCATTCCATTGTGATGACTCATGCCCAAAACGTGGTAAACACGGCACACTAACACAGTAATACATTTGCTATAACACAGCCAAAAACTCAAATAAAACCATTCTAAAAGCCTGTATCACAAAAATTTAAAAAACGCCTAGGGGTATTTGCCCATTGTACCTCCATACCAAATTTCAGGACCTTAGGCCCTAAAATGAAGAAGCTGAATCCATTTAAAGATATGGCAGGAGGAGAAGAAGGAGGAGAATCATCAGCAAAGACAATATGGTTTCACCACACCACTTCGTGGTGTGGTGAACCCATAAATATCTATGCAAAGAGCAATAAAGGTAAATATCAATCACTATCCACTTTCTTGTACTCACCAGTGCATTTTGCAACAGCAGTGCTGAATTCGTCTCTTGAAGACCTAAAGAAACAACATACTTGTAGTATAAAATTTTAATGTGTAGTAGAAAATGCCAATTTTTGTTATAAAATGCGCAAAGAGGTTGTCTTTATATTAAGATGACCGAAAAATAATTTGCAATGCCATTTATAAAACAAAAATCAATTTCCAACATTAAGTTAAAAATAACAAGATAGATTTTGTACATGTAGATGGCACAACATTTAGAAAATTATTGCATCCTCACCTTATTTCAATCAGATGGTCCTGTAGTACAGCAATAAGTTGCCTGTCCCTATACATGGTATATAACATAGAACACACACAAAATCATCAGATTTCCATATTTTATCATTTTTACTGATGACTAACAATGTGTTACTGTCTTATTCATCGAATTAGGGAATGGGTACAAGGTGTGGCCACAATGGCCAGTTTAACACTGTATATCAAGAGGTTACACTTACAGGTTTGATTCCTGGCATTCCTAACAATGTCCTTGGGTTTGAAGCCACTTTACAGGACTTTTCTCACTTCCCCCTGTATGTAAAGTGGGTACCTGACTTTGGTTGAGGAGGTAAAAGGCAGTGGAATGAGAAAGATGGGCTCTACCTTCCAATATCCTGCCCAAGACACTGTATCAACAACCCACTGCCCCTACAGCCTCAAAAAGGCTATGAGACCTTTACTTTGCGTTGTCTACCAGTCACAGTTTATAACACCTCACCTGGACACCTGCAGTTCCCAGTCCATCAGGGCATCTTTGAACTGGACCAGTGGAGCTGGCAGGCCGTGCAAGTCTCCTCGCCTACAGTAGAAAAAGAATTAACAAGATCTGACAAAAATAATGAACAAATAAGCATTTATCACACTTTCTAATCTTAGAGAAGAAATGATGAACAAATAAGCATTTATCACACATTCTAATCTTAGAGAAGAAATAATGAACAAATAAGCATTTATCACACTTTCTAATCTTCGATAAGAAATGATGAACAAATAAGCATTTATCACACATTCTAATCTTAGAGAAGTGGCAGCATATATCGAGGATCATATGGCAACACAATGTTCTAAAGGAAAATGTACTGTAGTATATATATGTTACAATAGCTGTTGAATTCCATATTGCATCTAGGGTCAGATATTACTACTACGGGTTGTGTTATGCCACACTTTAACCTGCAATGATTTGACAAAAATTCAACATTCAGCAATTTCCGGAAATGTGACACTAGTCATAATGCAGCTGTCCAAGGGTTAATACAAAGCAATGGCATTAAAACGTTTTTACAGTAAATCAATTTGGTTCAGATGTTTGATAATATTGGTGTTTTACTCTTAATTAGTCTTACCATATTAAGGATCCAAGTTTCTTGAACACTGCAACTGATAAACCTGTTTGAAGAAAGTAGAAAAAACTCTATCACAACTCTAACTCTAACTCTAACATTATGTTGCTAGACCACGTCTAGCAATATAATATGGTATCATTCAAATTGTAATTTCAGTAAATGAGTAATAATATATGATTGTCAAGCAAATAGAAAAGCTGCATTTTTTCTTACCAACTGGTCCAAGTGCCAACAGATCAGGAATATATCTGGATACTAAGGCATCATCCTGAGAAATACATTAAGCAACCATAAAACTGATCATCAAACATCAGATATTATCTGGAGATACTAGTAACTGTTATATATAATATTTCACTGCTGCTCGATCAATGATACGTCAAAGTCTGGTAAACGCAGACGGTAATCCATATGATAATTTTTCTAATTTAGCAAATTATAGACAGGCATCTACTGTAAACGGGTTACGGAAAGTATCTCTTCGATAAATATTGTAAAATGTATGGGGTCGTACAAAAAGCAACAACCCCCCTCCCCATATTTTCCCAAGCGTACCTGTTTTGGCGGTTCTAGCGTCTTTTTCCACTCTGCCCGGAGAAGCAGCTCGTACAGAATGTTTTCGGGAGGGTTCAGGACTTCCATCCTGGCGATTTAATCAGATTTTAGTTGTCCAACTTGGACCTGAACGGCATTTGAATCCTCCGCATTTCAGAAGTCCACGTAGACCTGTCTGTGACCTTAGTGACCTTTAACCTCTCGGACGGCCTTCCTGGTTACCCAATATAATGTAGCGATGTGTGCGTGAGAGTTTAGAATTTAGGATGTTGGTTTTTAAGTGTCAGTGGATAATTGCTGGGATAAGCGGCAAACGCACTCATGCATGTTAGATCGATATCATTATCACTTTTGTTTATCCTTTGTACATACTTTTCTTATTCTGTGATATATATCTCACATTTGTGATTTTTAAATGTCACCAGAATTGGTTAGTCTCTACCAGACTAACTACGCTGGCTATATATAGGAGAATAATTGCCAGGGGAGTTTGGGCCGCCTTGTAGGTTTGACAGGGAAAGAAACTAACAGTTACCTCCCCGCGGTCGGACTTCCTTAGGCCAATTTTACTCTCTTTTTTTTGCCGAATTCTGCGATCCGTATTCCCGTAGAAAGGCCTGGTGGAGGCTAAGAATTGGTCCGTGTTTTCGTACTTTCGCACTCATCCTTTCTATTCTCGCTAAGGTTATTTTCTTTCACTATTCACACATTTTCTAACACTTGTGGTTTTGGCGTTCTTGTAAATGTTTTTAATTTTTTGCAACGTTTCAAGGACGTCACTTAGCGGATGAGAAATGTATTGCACCACAGTAATAGTAAAACATTGTTATAGTACTAAGTTGTCAACGAAGCCATGGTCACATACATCGTATGAAACTATGATGCACCTTCTATGTTGTTTTTTTCCGAAACGATAGTGGGTTTGAGAGGAAGCGTCGCTGAAAACCTTCTATCATAGGTATGTGATTGGGTCTGAAACATTACACTGTAAAATCATTTAAGAGCCTAAAACATCTCTAGCAGCCAATAAAACAAATGCACTTGATTTTAACGAAATTTTAGCTATGCGTTGATTGGCTCATTGATGTAAAATACCGGCCAATCAGCACATAGCAATGCTTTGCTGTGCGGGAATACAAATTGCAAATGAGAGATGTCATACATGCCACACAGTGGATTGACGGATGATTGCTCTAACTAGTGTAGAAATTAGAAATCCATTGGGCATTAAGCAGCCAATCAATATTAGCCTAGGAGGGACATGCAGGCTACTACTTGTAGTATTCCCGCTAAGAAAATGACTACCTGGCTGACTGAACCGAAATTGCATAATGCTAGACATATTAACAGACATTGATTATGCTACCTTCCTATTGTTTATAATTCCATTGTTTATAACAACAGAGAGTGTTACCTCACCATTATCATCACTATACTTCTTCAGAGGTGGACCGGTTTTTAAACTTAAAAGTATTATAATTATTATAGTTATTATAATTATTATAATTATTATAGTTATTATGAAACTTTCTAATGTCAGACGGAAACTGTTGCAAACGCAAAGCATTATATTAGAATTCTCTTTCGCACTGTAACTTTCTAATTTCAGACGGAAACTGTTACATAGGCAAAGCATTAGAATTCTCTTTCGCACTGTTTCTATATGAGTCCTTAGCACGCATGGCCTTGCAAGCATTACAGCAGACCTAGGGGATAGTATAATCTACTAGCAGATCTTTTGGTGACTACAAAGACACAAGCCAAATTGCCCAGGCTGTATCCATTCGCCAGACAGTCATACCATTTCGGTGGCGAAATGGTAATTGTCCGTCTGGCCTATGGATGCAGCTTGGACAATTTGATTCTGTCTTTGCAGCCACCAAAAGATCTGCTTGAATCTAACTCTAGTGCAGCGTGCTAAGAAGATAAAGCGGTATGTACTTGTGACCGGGTCGGGATTTGAACCCGCGACCTCCCGCTGCAAAGAGAACAATCTACGCATACTACGTTATCACACCGGACCGTTGGACTCCAGAGAAACATGTTCATTGAGTCTGACAAAAAATAGTATCGTGGTTTAGATTCATGCTTCTCTATCTTTTACTTTTACTGCGGATTTTGAAAAAAAATGTCGGATCGTATACCGCATCACAGCAGCCTAAACCTATTGACAAAAACATACAAGTGGGGATTATTACTGACTTAACAGCGACTTGATGTCAGATTATCTTGACTTTATCAGCTTTAGTGTCTCCGTAGCGCGAACTCTGTCCGTCATATTTTGACATGTCCAAATTTATTTAACACTATCAAACCCACCAGTGCCCATTTCAAGTGTGTGCTCAACAAATCTAAAAATATTTTGCACTTTGAAGAGGTCACCCGCCGGAAGAAAAGAGTAAGAGATAACCTGTTTTTGGTGGTGGGTACAAAAGTGAGTACCGAAGTATCACGGCAATGATAGCGGCGATCACAATGCTTGTTGGATCAATAAGAACTTTATCACCCAGTGCCAAATGTCCATTGTCTCAGCTGTAAAAAATAATTCCAGCCCTGCTAAGAAGAAGTGTGTGACGAGGGAACGAATCTTGTACGTGTGAGTATAACAAACGTGACATCGTTAATTCGGAATGACTGCATGTAGAACTAGTAACCACTAGAATGGAAGGTAAGTTTATACGGCATGTGACTGCCGGAGTTTAACCACACTATCTCCGATGTGTTGTACACTCTCACGTTAGAAGGTATGGTGGTTATAACTATGGCCCAGAATCAAGACATACTGTCTTATCTTGGTGCTGACTCAACGACATCAATACTGGTTAAAAATCTTTGCTCAGGAGAGATATTTACATCGATAACCGGTTCAACAGCAAGTCTGAAACGACATGATCTTATAATAATCAACAGTTCATAAGCAAAAGAGACGCATGATAAGCGTATGTCAGAAGCCGATGATAGTTGGATATAGTGTCCACCGTCTTCGATCATCAAAAATCGTAATAAACTAAGATAAGATTGCGGACTGATGTAAGGGTTTTTGAAATCTAATCTTCGAGGTGCCAGCGTTGTTAACTGCCGAGACAGATAACGTTGTTATTACTGGTGATACGACAGCAGGCAAACTCGTAAATAACCTGGATACGTCACGTATATAAGTTCGCAGCTCTGATATCTCATGTCTAAGGCTTACATACGAGGCCATACGTATATAATCTTACATTTATCTGTGCAAACTTTGATGTTTTTTAGATTTGTTTGTGTCATGTTTTTTTTAATTATGTGCTTGTATACTATGGGCCGTCGAGCCTGAAATAAATAAACAACTTAATCATAACGTAGTCTTACAATTTATAAAGCCATATCATACATCAGTGTCCACCAACGAAGTAATGATCATAATGTCTTGAGTTTTTATATTAATATTCCATAAATATGCTCCGAAATTTGAGTTGTGCCCCTTGTTTCTAGGAGAGATCGCGAACTTTCTGAACGCACCCTCGTGCTCACATGGACATGTTCGCGATGACATACGACAGAAGTTTCGACCCCGTCTCCTTGGTAACATAACACCACTGCCCTTCGCGACCTCCAAGACAAATGAACAATTTAAACAAATCATTCTTTTCCTATCTTATCAGCCTAACAAGCGCTGACGTTCGATTTGCCGATATGATAATATTTTCATAAGGCAGATTTTGGGACGAGATGAAACGCATTCCTGACCAGACAACTTAACCTGCAAATACTTTGATGTCTCACAGTCCGGTTGACGACATTGGCGTCTATTTATTTAAGAATTTGTGTGATATTTACTTTGAAATTCTTCGCATAAGGCCTGTACGTGGGATCTTTTTTCGTTAAATGGAACTACATCAATCCAAATGGTACAAAGAAAGAAAATAAGGTTATGTAAAAATTTTGATACCATAACATAATATCATCCCTACTTGATATTAGATGTAGAGGGAGTTTGGACGATCAGATGCCCCCATTGCATCATATCACCAGTGTCCTGCGGGGTTTCAATGATTTATTTTATCTAGGCTTTCTACAACCAGCTAAATTCTCATTAAACCAGTTTTCTGGCCAACATAGCCATATTGTGAGGACTGTGGAATTCGTGCATGAATCGTCCCATTCCGTGCCGCTGCTCCTATTGTACACTAGAAATACCATGTCTATCTGAAGTTGGTTTGACAGAATGATATATGCGTGTGCAAATAATGTCGTATGTACAAAATATGTACGTATCTAGAAAGGTCACAAATGTTAACGAGTTGTTTCAAACATGCCATGTGACCAGGGCGTATTCTTCAGAGCGGGTTTACTGGTAATGCGTGAGCACACAAAACTACGGCTTACTAACATCTACATTCCAGTGTCGGCTTTGGCATATACAAATGCACTTTAATCTATAATGACATATTTTGTGGGGAAACAAATAACCGCGTTGCCATGGATATCGCAATAACAATGTTCGCGATGTTTTATAAATTGTTCTTTAGCGAACGCTTTGTGGTCTGCATTTTTCATAGTGGAGGCTTATTCAGCAATTTTAACGTTGCGAGCTACGGAACGCAAATTAATGCTCGCCTTGTACATGCTATCTCAGAGTCATTGCCGAATACAATTCAGATCTTTTTCAAGACCACAGCGTTTCAAGTCATTGCCTATACTCTACAATGTACCCCCTGCTTTGATGACTTGAGAAGAAAGAAAGCAAAGCCTTTTCTTAATAGTATTACACAAAGGACAAGGCCAATGTGATGTACAATCAAGTAACAACTTATTTTGCTGCGCCACACACACACAAAACAACAATATTTAGCAGTTAGTACAGTACAGTGCGTCCCCCTCCCGTTACCCAATGTTGTAATTGACAGCTACCTTTAGTTATTACGATGTGTATATAACGTATACTGAGTAAGAAAATGTAGTGTATGACTTCTATACCTAATTGAAAGACATGTACACCAGTCAAATAGAGCCAGAAGCCCTTGGTGCCTTCAATGATTAAGGAGGTTTAAATCATTTTACTTAAACCTCCTTGGTGCCTTAAATACATGTTCAAAGCGAAGCCTTAGGGCCAAACATGACGAGATATGGATACCATGGAATAGGAGACCATTCTCAATGTCAGATATCTCTCTCTGCGTGTTCGACTTGGCATTTCATAAAACAGTGGCTAATGAATGCAAACACAGACTCCCCCACACTTCTGATCTTTGGTGAAAGGAATATTTGCACGAGTGTTAAAATACTAATGATCTACTGATCGACTAAACTATTGAAATGCGTAGGAACTTTGCTTGCCATTCTCGTGTATCGAGCGACACGTTACAACTTGATAGGCAACAAACAAACAATTTCTGGGGTTGTCTCGATCGATAACTTGTTTTTCTGTTGTCGTAAAAAGTCTCTTCGATTATACCTTTTTAAAATGCTTTCACCGACGTCGTTTTGTGACTGTTTGTGTGGTTGATTTTGAACAGAAAGACAAAAAATAAAGATTCTAAGCAATTGTCCACCATAAAGATGATTCAAGTAACCCTTGAGATTGTTTTTTAATAAAATCCGTCTAAAATTTCAGTACTAAGCAACTAAGCAACCAACCAACCAGGCAACCAACCAAACAACCAATCAACCATGAAACCATAAAAACAACCATGAAAACAACCATAAAACCGACCATAAAACCAATCAACCAACCAACCATAAAACCAACCCTAAAACGATAAAACCAACCAGTCAATCAAGCACCCAAGCAACCAACCAACAGTCAAGAAACCAACCAAATCACAAACAAGCAAACAAACAAACAAACAACAAACAAAGCAAAAAAAGCAACCACCGATCGAAATCAAACAACCAATCAAATAACCAAACAAATAACCAAACAGGCAAGAAAACAACCAACCAGCTGCCCAACCAACAAAGAAACCATTCACACAAACAACCTAAATGTAAACAAAGGTTACCTAAGCAAGTGTGAACAGGTCTGTCCATCGTAATCGATTGTGAATTATAACAGTGAGAGATGCTGACTTGGTGTTTTTAGTATACTTGGCATCGTAGTTCACAGGTACACAAGTGTACATGGCTTCTGTCTCCCTTTCCAAGTAAATCACGTGGAAACAAGATGCCACAAGATTAGATTATGCAAACCTGTCATAACACTGTTGTCTCCAAGACGTATTTTGTTTTTCGAACTGAAACAAATGGTGCCTCGCTGCCGCTAGCGTTTGCTGTTACTGTGCAGCTTTTTAATAAAGAAAATCACAACAACTAGACGATGCCTTTTCCTCTAGGCCCAATCGCAGGGACATGTACATATGGCCCATTAAATATGTATATGTAATTGTACCCGTCCGAAAGAGCAAACAACGAGGTTCATTTATTGTTCGTCAAATGCATTTGTCAGTGACAGTGAGAGATAGAGAAACTTGATAAAAATGGCCCATTAAGTTGTAATTGATTAACGTTTTCCCCTGTTACTGTTCGGTGGGTTGGCGCGTGGCTTGGTTCTTTTGCGACGTTCACACATGGCATTCTCTCGTATCGTTGTAAGCATTTGTGCAGAGATAACGTAGGGTTAAAAACACCAGAACTTTGCTGCCTATTCATGTTTCCGATAACACTACAAGTTATACAGTATTCCTGGAGCACACACTAGCTAGTAAGTACTCTGTGACAGTAGATAGTAGTATTCTAGTGCTCTTTATTTGAATTGACCTGTATTCAAGACAATACATGGGCAGAAATAATGTCAAGGACGATTTTGGAAAAATATATTGATTCGTAACTGCTTTAAATCATATAGATGATATACTGTATCCAAGTCTAATGTATTTAAAAAAACTCACTGAAAACTTGTGCTCAAAAATAAGAATTTATGTATACTTTGTATTTCATTTTTACAATCAGTGAAGATAGTAGGCGGTGCATTCCTAATATTGTCGATAAGGTAACATAATGTGTAACACTATAGCATCATATCTCTGTACAGGGTGTATCCCCATAAATGACTAATATACATCATAGTTTATAGATATTCGATGATTCTTTACTGTGGAAAATCTATCGAACTAACTCGGCAGGCGGTACCCGGACGATACTAGTAACGCGCATCTCCGTGCAGAATGTCTCTGTTTGCAGGACAAATAGAGCTTACGTACTTTGACATGTCGGGACACTTCATAATTACACAAGTTTGGCACAACACTTTGTCAAACAACGCCAAACACACCACTCACATCTTAGCCGGTGGTTGGTCGGCCTGTCCGCAGGAGAAAGTGCCACCCAAGTCTTAAAGACGAGCCACTTCTAGCCTTCCAATCGTCTTACGTAGCCGAGAAGCGTTAGCAAGTTGTATTTTTTGTGGTGAAAAAGTTTTATGAAAAAAATGAAGGCCGTGGTTCTTTTTGTCTTCGTGAGTGTTGGACTGGCCGGCTTGACGGAGGCTGTGACGAATGCTACCGCTGAGGACATCGAAGAAATCTTGAGACATCACAACTTTCTCCGAAGGACCGCGCCGCCTCTGGCGGCCAACATGCTTCCATTGGTAAGTACCACTGCTAGGAGAAAATTGCATTTCTTAGGGATTAGGAAGAAAGAAAGAAAAATAAACTTCGAATGACACATCCACGAACCCTGTGGAAAATGAAATTCTTTGATGAATTCTTCTTTATATGACTTACAAATTGTTGGGACAATCAGCAAGAACTTTGCCGAACATTTCTGAGCAAATCCTCGCATTGTGGTGACTTAAGCGGTGGATTTACTCGGGATTAGGAATAAGACAGCGGGACTTACATTAGCAGTGTTGGAGAAAGTGCGGATCAGTCCTAAGCCTACAAACGTATTTGTTCTCTTACGAGCTATTCAAGCGACAAGGGGCAGGGTTTGTATGAGAACAAACTAGCTACTGGTGCCCACCGCCCATTGAATGAATGGATCTTTATTGCATATTTCTGCCCAGGTGGGCTGAGTGCACATGTGATCTGGGGGATATGAAACTTGGAGTATATACTAGTGAAATGCTACATTTTAACGCTTAATACTAAGAGTCTGCAACAACGCTATGTACTATTGTCCATCTACTGTTCATATTAACAAAAGCGTATTTTGATATTTTGATAACGTTAAAATATTGCTTTTGTACATTTGATGTATATGTTCACCGTAAAATGTGAAGTTTTTGAATGTTCAGATATGCATCTTGGCTGCGTAGACATTTAAACTCCGTATACGTATACTTAGTATACTATGCATGTTCATTGCTGACTAAGATCCAGTTCCAGACGACGTCATATAGGCACATGCAGAAACATGTGAAATTGTGGTCAGATATTTTAATGTTAGCCGCGTTGCTGTTATACGCTTTCCTATCTACCGAGTGTTTGTCCCTTGTTCATCACGACTTGAATTATCCAGCTAAGGTGTTTGTATACCTTCTTTTCAACCCCCTTTATTAGAAGAACTGCATCTAGACTGCGCCTTGATCACGTATCGGGTAGTGTTTTGACCGGCTCCATTCAATGCCACTACGTGGTCAAACGTGACAGACATACTTCTGTCGTCAAGGACGAAAGAAATTGTCATTGAGACAAAAATTACAACACGTCACTCGAAAAAACAGAAGAGATATTGAGGTATTACTGTAAATTAGAATATTTGGTCAGCATGAATGTTTGTCAAACAAGTGCACGTTCGGTCAAGTTAACGTTCATTCTGAGCTCACAATCAGTGCTCACTCAACTGCTTGAAAATTGACCATCGGATGTTAACACGATCATGACCAGTCAGGAAGACGAGATTTTCTGCCACTGCAGTACCAGATAAAGCCACCAGGAGCCCAAAATCTATAACATTTTTCTTTAATAAAAAAAGGGCCCCATTCCACTCTCTGCAGAGCATAGAGATGGCGCCCATCTCCATTTCTGTAGCCCTTGGGTCACACAGTTGTGCAAGCACTACAGCAGGGGTCTAGCCTGCTGGTAGTGTTGTATGTTGACATTCCCATACTCTTTCTCATAGATGCTGAGTGCTAAACAGATAAGGCAGTATGTATCATTTTTAAAGTCTTTGGTATGACCCGGCCGGGGTTTGAACTCACGACCTCCCGGTTACAAATCGAGCAATCTAGTGATTGAGCTATTGTACCGGTTTTGACCCATCCAACCATGCTGCGAAACAAACTTGACACCGTTACACACGCTACCAAAAGCCTTCTTGGCGAAGTTAATAACAATTCTATTAGTACACATACCCTATACTGTAGATATCCAGTAAGAATTGGATATTTATAGTGTTGATTTTTCTTGCGATGGTGCCTTTGCACATAATCATCAGTACAGCTAGTCCGGTACTAGACGCGCCATAAGCATATAACCCATAACTATAATCTCTAGAGGTCTCCGCACCCAGCAAACTGTTCCAACATGTCTGGGCGATTGCAAATACTTAAGAGTATGAAACTTTGCACTTTGTCCACGTTCAAGCTTGTGTCGTGATATATTTTGCTGGCAAACAGATAAAATATAACCGTGTCTATCACGCAAAAAATGGTACTTTAAACGGTAATGTCTTGGATCATATTTTACAATCTCTGAAGGTATGATAATGCACATGAAATTGTAGTTCGTTATTTGTTTTGGACCAGGTTTCCACGTATAACTTGATGATGAAACATTGTACCTGGATAAGATTTTTCTATTGCTGTGGCGTCGGGGTTACATAGTGATACTTCTAAGTAGGGTCCAGGGCTCCCAAAATCTACACAATGACCAGCATTTACATTTCCCAGGGATTGTCCAAAAGCAATTTGACAAAACACGTGAAGAAAAAACGTAAGAAACATAAACCACAAAACATGTCTATTGGTAGTTGTATCTGTATTGGACTATAGTAACGTTTAGTTTTCAATATAGATGCACAAATTACTATGACTGGATCTTTAGGGTCGTAGTCTATGGTAGCTGAATGAGACTAAAGTGCATAACCTACCAATGTCGTACATTTTGAGCCATGCAAGACTGGAATGTTACACATGTTTTGTTTTGTTATCTCACTGGCACAGCAAGCTTGTTCTAAACCAGCTAGCAGGTTCACAGCATCTCTGTACGGAAATTACATTGAAGCTATGTCCTGTGGATGATTACTGTCTCGCGAACGAAAAGCTACCGCTTTAGGCACTGCGCAAAATCCATCCTTTACGCACACCTTAAAGCATCCATTAAATGTTCCGTTTCTTCCTTTGCCCGTTCCTTTACGCATGTTTAAGATGTGCTTAAAGGTAAGATTTCGTGAAGTGTAGGGTCTCGGTCACATATCGTCGTACCACCGCAACCTGAAGCCTTGTTGGGATAGTCACGCATGTGTCCGCGGTAAAAGTCTTTTTATGGAAAAGACTGTCTTAGGTCCTTGACTCGGTAGTTGGTTCTGTCACAGCCTGCTGGAAAATTGTTCGACATCAAAATCGCGTGGATGATTTTGTCTCGCGAAAAGCTCAAACGCTAGGGCCCAGTCACATAGCATTGTCGTGCGATCGCACCCCGCTTTTTTTTCTTGGGATAATCACGCATGTGTGTGGTAAAAGTCAGAAGATTTTTTATGGAAAAGGCTGTCTTAGATCGTTGAGTCGGCAGTTGGTTCTGTCAAAGCCTGCTTGAAAACTATTGCCTACCTTTAAGCATGACTCAAAACATGCGTAAAGATAAACGCAAGTGGGGGAACGAAATCTTTACGCATATTTTCTTGTGTGCGTAAAGAATGCGTTTTGTCTCGTGCATCAAAATCGCACAACGACCCACGGCGAATGTGACTATTCTTGACATCATTTCATTACTGTAGTAATAATCATCAAAAGATATAATAGGATATATTAGTACAAACTTCCTTATCGAGGATCATTATTATAGATGATTAATATGCCTAAATAAGAATACATTGCGCTATCAGTCATAGACGTCGAAAACTAGTACTGTTCTTTGATCTGGTACTTATATAATGCTTTTATGTACAGAAACACTTGCAAGCGGTACGGAATTTTGAAATTCTGAATTCACAAATGTCATAGTTTTAACACGGGGCGTAACTTCATAAACCGTTAAAGGAAATCTATAAGTTAGATTTGATTAGGTAACACAACATCATACTATTAGCAGTTCCAGTATATCTAGATACTGCGGCGGATATTGGAAAGACTGTGGGAGTGAGAGAGAGATAAGAGTGATAAAACTGTATGATAAGAATGTTAATGTAGAATTTCCACTCTGAACACTGAAACGTACGTGTTTGTTAAAGCTTGTACTGTTTTTGTCCCGACGTTTAAGTCAACTGCAAATTTGTCGAGAAAAAAAAAACTGTTGCCAAACAAATCATTCTTCATTTGCAATGGCTCAACTTTGCTGAATCCATTATTTTCGTATCTCGGTACTCTTACTTTTCCCTCCGTGATTGCAAGAAAACAGTATTTAATGGTGAATAATGGCGCCGCAGAATCGAATGCGCCGCCGACTGGACCACATTTATAACGTTTCCCGGTGACACCGCTATAGAATAACGATATGGGAGTCATTAAAGGATTATTTCCCCTGGATAGTGTGTACAAAACAACAGCGAATAAGGTCGCAGTGTCCTGTAGTCTAACACCTCATCAATTTCTTTTAATGATGATTGGTCATATGATGTTGATTTGATTATCATACGTGGGTGGACTTTGCCATCATTAGGCTTAACTTATCGTAATCCCCCTCTCTTCAACTTTGACTCCTCCCCCTTCCACCTTACACATGTAATGATGATATGGTGTATTGACACATGTCATGCCTTTTGGATGATCAAACATTGCAACATGACACAAATCAATATACGAACGATGTAAACATACATGTACATACAAACAATGCAAATGACAAATATACAATAGTCGTATTCACTTATAACTTGTGAAAACATTTCTACTGCATGTCCGAAGAATAGATAGTACAATCTGGATACGTACATTCCTAATGACCACACGGTCACCTTGTAATTTCTCGTGAATCCGTTTCCCCGTAGGTGTGGAATGAAGAGTTGGCGGACCAGGCACACGAGTGGGCGCTGAACTGTTCGATTGAACACGGCTTTCCACCTCGCCCTAACTCGACCTTCGGTACTCATGTAGGTAGGTATCAGTCCATCCCTCGCCCCACCATTTACTTAAAAAAAATCATATTTGATATGTCTGTTGTGCTGTGTTTCATACTGGTTATGTACAGAGTTGTCATCGATACCGCTGAAGTGGAGTGTTGTGACAGAGTGAGTGTATACACTGCTACAGAACACATTCCGCTTCCTCTGGCAACCAGGCCTCGCCATAGCCCGGTAGCACACCGCTCTACCTCTCACTGCGGGCATCTATCCACCCCCGTTGGGGGTCCAGTGTTTGATTTCAGACGATAAACATAATGGGTAGGATTAAACCGCCGGACGTTGAAGCAACGGCGCGATTCCTGTTGTGTTATGACATTGTTGATACACTATGGTGAAAAGAATGACATAATTCGGAGCTTAGTCGTGAAGTCGTAAGTTTTGCCTTTCGGATTATTCTCTGTTTTGGTACAGCTTTCGAGGGATCTTTGAACAAAGACCTTTCACTTTTTTTACAAAAGGAAAACTGAGCTATTAGGAGAAGTCGAAAAAGAGTGGTAGCTATATTGAATTGGATATTTCTTATGTAATACATGCATATTAAACTGGAACTTGTAATAGAGAGACACACAGATCACATACAAACGACATAGAGACATACAAAAGAAAAATGATGGAAGACAATTAGTTCTTATAGCTACCTTCACAGAAGGACATAACTGTACAAGACATCCACTATGTCGGGAATTTCATCACATTATGAAAACATGAAATCAGAGATTTCAGATATTTGGCAATAAATGTTTCGATAAAAAACACAGCCAAACAATTAAAAACAAGTAAAAGTAAAAAAGGGCACTTAGAGATTTGCACGTTTATTTCACACCTGCGTTTGCTTGTTCAGGACAAAACATCTGGCTCAGTTCACTGGCCCAGATCAACCTCACCGTAGTGATCCAGAGCTGGTACGACGAGATTGACTTCTACAACTGGGAGGAGACCAAGTGTCATCCGCCACCTGGCGGAATGTGCACGCATTACACCCAGGTGGGGAATCAGAAAACATACACGTCACTGGAACCATTCTCTGCGTCATTCCCGGCCTTGAAAGTCCATCGTTCTCGAAGATGAAGAAACTTTCGCCGGTATTTTGATGAATATTATCAAGGACATAACTCCTGTGAAGTTATAATGTCAAGTACGTAACGTTATATGTCTAATGTTGTGTTTCGGCCCATAGCTGATGTGGGCCAGTACGACTGATGTGGGCTGCAGCTACTACCATTGTCCCTGGAATGGGCATGCAGTCGTGGTGTGCAACTACGGACCCCAGTAAGCTTTTTACTCGTTTGTTGGTACATGGTACATGTATTAGCTCGTTAGTTCAGCATGTAATAATGAGTGTAACGTTAGTATTTACGTGCAATCTAGTAATTTTCAATACACATGTATGACTCTCCGTTTCCTCGTTATCAAGCTTTTTTGATTGAAAATAAAGTTCTGAACATTATCATAAGGCTCGACCCGATGATTATTCTAACGTTACGACAAAGTCTTCCGTCACAGGACTTCGTTAAGTCTGTAGAATGTTCTATGTGACAGGGGCGTCTTTGCTCTGTATTACTGAATCGGTGCTCTCGTGACATAACTTTGGCTTAAACGTTACCATCTTCACTTCAGAGGAAACCTGGCCAACACCCGGCCGTACCTGGCCGGCCCGCCCTGCTCACAGTGTCCCAACCAGGAGGGATGGTGTGACGAGGGGTTTTGTGGTGAGTGTTATACATGTGTCCAGCTAGACTGAAGGACACACACCTATCAGCTGCGCCACCACACCTATTAATAGCGAACTGCAGCGTTGGAAATAGCACAGAAAGAGTAGCGTGTTATCAGATCTTGGTAATGATGTATGTCTATCAGAACAACAAGCTTAAGCATTTCTATTCTTTGTAAAATTTTACACAAAATATTCACTGGTTTGATTAATTGACCAGATATATTATGCCATATTTTCCTGACAGGCAAATTACATTTGCATTCGATGATCAATCGTGTAGCCCACAAAAAGTTAATGTATACCCTACACCTTTTTTTTCTTTCTTTATACACAGTTGACTGTCCTGCCCAAAACTGCGGTAAGTATCTACATAAACCAAGTGACAGATATTCATCTAGGTTATGAATTGCTGACAACATCTCGCATTCAAGAATAGTTCGCACGTCAATGTTTCTCGCAATATCATAGTTTATACATACGTGGTATTCTATCATTAAATCGTTTTTTAACGATAGTAGTTAGCAATGGACGTACACTATATATGCAACAATGTAACATAGCCTGAACACACTAGATAACCCGAAGCCAATTTGTGAATGGAGCTAAAAACAATTGTTATATATGCATAAAATTGTAGAGTGATGTTGAAGTTTATTTTTTCTAGATTGTGCCCTGGAATGCAAGAACTGCGGAGTGCTCGACCCGACCACCTGTACGTGTACGTGTAAAGACGGCTGGGACAGTCCCGACTGTTCAGGTATAGTATGTTCACCGAGTATGGCATTGTTGAACAACCACCCAAGTACAAATTTAGGAGCACGTGTAGATCTGCACTGCGATTGGTTAGGACGGACCAAGCTCACATTGTGATTGGCTAAGACAGGTCGTGCCCCGCCCGTGTTCACCACGTGATAGAAGTCCACTTGTACATCACTGGTGCGCAACATCAATTCATGACCCCATAGGTATCTACATAAAAATCCATAAACTTAAAACTTTTGATCCAACACAAAGAATATGGCTCTCACTTGAGTACCTTGTAATCATGAAAAGTTCATTTGTGTTGGTAGTTACATATTCAAAGTTAAAACTTTTGAACATAAACATAAAGAATTGTTCTCACCGTTTTCATTGTTTGAGCCGTTTTCTGCTGGAGCATGATTTCCCTCGTGATCCGGTAATGACGTTGGTGTGTGAGTTATGTGGTGTTTCAGGACTAAGGATAGGTCTCACGTCAGAACGTGAGTTTTAAAAAGAACAACGGTCAAAACGCAGTCAACGTATCGTTCAATTTTGAGCCAGGTCATGACAAACCCAATCATAGACAACATCGACAACAATATACGCCAATTTTTTTTTCGTCGCAAGGGTGTTGCAATTTTATCATTGTTATACAACATGTCCACGACCGCCCCAAGAACGTCCCCATTTGCTGTAAGTTGATGGCATTTAAACGATCACGAGTTTAACTATTGCACTTTTATTATATCTTATTTATTATGTCTTCACCGAGACTTATTCTCTGTGTTGAATTCTCTCAAAGGGATAACCATACTTTATTCTGATGTATTCCGTTTCTTGTGACTGTACATTACAGTGCCTTGTGAAAATGGCCATCGTCTATGTGGCGCGAACCCCGGCTGGCCAAGTGCAGCGTTCTGCACCATGACTGGATTTGACGTTGTCAACGACTACTGCAGGGAAATGTGTGGACACTGTGGTAAGAATGTTAACCTTTCTTGTCCATACTCTTACATACTAACTGTCGTGCCATGCTTGCCGCTAGTATATTTCAAGTAACCGTCCTGCCTTCCCGGTCGATCCGCGGCCTGCATTTTACTTAGCTAGCTCCAGGGTGCGCTGCTTAATTTACACAAGCAGTGGACCTGTATGAGACTGGGCTCTGTACGCTGGGCCATTTTGGGCATGAAAAGTAACCTTGGGCCAGTTACGTTGAAGAAATGGTAAAATGATATAGCATATATTCTTTGTCATAAAAACTGTGCATTTCAGACTGTCGACGTCATTATGGTAATAATGTAACCCAAAACTTATAAATGGTTCGTATGAGCCTTGTTTTGAGGTGAGAATTGAAGTAAATAAAATTTGAGAAAAAACTATTCTGAAGCACTCTTCTAGAACTTGGAATTTGCAGAAAGCATCACATTGTATCTGCATATATATATATATACAGTAAAATGACATTTTTACCGCTGATATACGATATATTATTTCACTTTTGAGAAGGGTAGATCATGTGCGACGCACTACCATTTCATTTGACAACAAATGTACGCATACAATGATATCCTCCATACATTAGGCCATGTTGATTTGATTATATGGATGTCATCCTCCGGGAACCTCAAAACTGATGCGCGCGTGCGAATAAAAAAAAGTTTGCAAAAAAAAGTTGTTTTCATTATGAAATATACGTGGTTTTGAAGGTTGAACAAATGGGACAGAATATGGTTTGGCGAATAATCTAGTCTTCAAGTTCATTTCTTTACAATTTCGTCTTTTGTCGTTTGATTTTGGCATTCATAGTTTTTATTTATTATTTTTTTGTAACTTACGGTATATTTTTGCTCATTTTGCAACTGTTTTGTACGATTTGTACGAAAACTTTTTTTTTTTTGGAAACGGCCGAAAATTCATGCGCGCGCGGATGTCATCCATATAATCAAATCAACATGGCCTTACATAATATCACCTTGTATGATTCGCTAGACTTCGCCACCCCCGGAGACCCGAATGCCTGCTGTGAAGGACAGATGTGTTACAACGGCGGTTATCTGGACGAGTCCACCTGCCTCTGTGTCTGTCCGGCAGGGTTTGAGGGGGCGGACTGCAATGGACTCGATGGAGGTGATTATAGAACTAGAACTAGTACATGGAACTGTAGTACTACAATGTGACTATTCTACTAGAACTAGTACTACAGGGTAACTATTCCACTAGAAATCCGGATCTGTTAGAAGTACTAAAATGCGACTATTCTACTAGAACTAGCACATGGAAATATATATACTACAAGATGACTATTCTACTAGAACCAGTAGTACAAGGTGACTTAGACTATTCCACTAGAAACAGTGGCGTATGGACCCTCTCTGGCGAATGGGTACTGCCTGGCCAATTTGATACTGTCTTTTGCAACCCTAGTATCTGCTTGACTACAATGTAGATTCGCCGTAGATTGAATGATACCGTGGCCGACAAGAACAAAATTTTACACCGCAACTTTTGGTGTTTTACACCGCAACTTTTGGTGTTTTACACTGCAACTTTGGGTGTTTTACACTGCAACTTTGGGTGTTTTACACTGCAACTTTTGCTGTGTTTTACACTGCGACTTTTGCTGTGTTTTACACTGCAACTTTTGGTGTTTTACACTGCAACTTTTGCTGTGTTTTACACTGCAACTTTTGCTGTGTTTTACACTGCAACTTTTGCTGTGTGGAAAACTTACACCCCTCCCCTTTTATAATGGACGGTCCCCCTGTCAGGTCAAAGGTGACAACGATGGCATGCAAACTACGTCGACTGAGTTATCCTTTTCGTGCATATAAGTTTTTTAGAGGAAAAGCTTGGCTACGTTGTGACGTTGTGACGTTAGTTTTTTTCTAAAGGTTTTTCTTCATTTTAATGTCCCTAGACGTCAGCTTGTGACTTAAACGGATGCTAAGATACACAAACTTTGTGATAAAATGGTGAATCTTACTTTTCGAATACATGTTCCAACTTGATACCAGACTTTTACTTAGTTTGATATCTAGTGAATGTTGGTAACGTTTGCACCGCTACGTGTTGATGTCGACGCATGGTATGATAGAAATGATCAGATGTCTGTCTGAAGGCGTAAATATGTAATTAGCTTAAACTATCGTGGCATGATGTCATAAACGCTTGCATGCGTCTTCCACGTTTCCCCGCCTTTGAGTCACGTGACATTTTCTAGCTAGAGAATTCGGACTCGCAAGGTCGCTAATAATTTGATGAGTAAATATTGGGCCTATGGGAGTCAAATGTGGCACCACTTGGTACTATGAAGCAATAAAGACTTATTTTCAATTATGAAGTGTTGACTCTTGACTCAGTCACAGCACGACACTGTGACTCTCAGGCCGCCACCGTCTTTGTCACCTTTGACCTGACAGGGGGACCGTCCATTATAAAAGGGGAGGGGTGTAAGTTTTCCACACAGCAAAAGTTGCAGTATAAAACACAGCAAAAGTTGCAGTGTAAAACACCAAAAAGTTGCAGTGTAAAACACCAAAAGTTGCAGTGTAAAACACAGCAAAAGTTGCAGTGTAAAACACAGAAAAAGTTGCAGTGTAAAACACAGAAAAAGTTGCAGTGTAAAACACCCAAAGTTGCAGTGTAAAACACCCAAAGTTGCAGTGTAAAACACCAAAAGTTGCCGTGTAAAATTTTGTACTTGTCGGCCACGGTAGAATGAGATTGGCTGTCAACACAATCCACTAATAAATAATGCATTTTCCTCCGCTGCTATACGTGTGACAGTAACTCCAGGACCAACCGAACCACCCACTGGAACCCCCGCTCCACCGCTGGAGTGCTTCGTGTGCAGCAGCGAAAATGTGACCGAGGGCGACCCCTGTCATCTCGAGCAGGAACCGCAGGCGTACACGGAAACGTGCGAATCCGGCGAGCGGTGCATTGTATGTTGCCTCCGTTCTTTGTACGCCAGATAGAAAAAATGATGTCCGATTTCATCATCAGATCTTTCAATATCATCGTTAGTACAAAATTTAAAGTTCCTTTCCATTATTTTCCCAGTTGTATCAAGTATCTGTTCAAATCCATTTCATACGAAGACCGAAGAAACAATTGAGCATTCAGCACCAAGGACAGCTACAGAAAGACAGCTATCTCTGTGATATCTCTGCACAGTATGATATAGTTTGAATTCTGTCGCTCTTTCTTAACACGTTTAGTTTTGCATGCATAGTGCTTGTCGAGAATCAGAGCATTTCACGACATGTTTAAAAAGATTTAGGCTCAATGACCATAAAATTAACATTCAACTATTGAATTTGAATACTAGACTAAGTATCTTTTTGTGTGGATCTTTCTTGAATGCTGAATTCCTCTACGTGTACTTGTCTAAGACTAGGACTTTCAAATTCTGGATGTTTGTATGATCGTTTTCTAGGCAACTCGAATGTGACGCTAGCTTTACTGTTCCCCAGGTACGGCAGACCGTAGATTCGGAGGGGCGTGTCCTGGCAGTGGAGCGGTCATGTGACATGCTGAGCGACTGTGGTATCGAGGATGCACCGTTCGCTTTCGAGGCTGCGGAGCTGACGGAATGGCGATACTGCTGCGACCATGACAAGTACGTACCGATCGATGCAGCAAATTTCTCTCCTCCTTACTGTTTGTATTTACCTACCTACCTAGTCCCATGACCGACACTGGTCGTCGGGGGACAAGGCAGACTTTGCAGAGGTGTAGCCAGGTCTTCCTGTCTTGGGCTGATGTCAGGAAATCTATTTGCAAGTACAAAAATGTATTCAGTCAGAATTGCCCTGAGGAAGCTCAGACGGTCACAGAAACGTCGGCTGAATAAAACACTTGGTTCTGGAAAAAAGAGTCAATTTATTCTGTATTTGCAAATGTGACTATGAAGATGGAACAGGTTATAAGTTTATTGCTGACTTTCTCTTAATCTTATTTTGAAATTAAGATTATGGGAAGGATCCACTGGGTGTAAGTAATGTAATGTTTGGTGTAATGTTTGAGTAATGTTTGGTGTGTGTGATATGGGAAGATTATTTCAAGTGTTCCTGATTTCTTGGTATGATATTGTGACCTCTTGGCTGTCAATCTCACCCACCCACGTGCTGTCAACTTACTCTTCTTTTGATCTGTCATTCTGCCTGTCAATCTTCCTCTACCCACGTGCTGTCAACCAACTCTGTCCGGACACACAGAAAAACAGGCCCACAGCTCAGCCACCCAAAACAATACTTCCTTGCCCAGAAGTAAAAATAACGACCATAACGTACGCTAAAGTCCTGTTGTACTACGTTTGACTACTCTTCCATGTATTTGCAGGTGTAACGGTCAGCAGTTGCGGATTGGGTCAGGCGGTACACCGACGGCTCCCCTGGTGTCGCTGCTCTTCTGCCTGGTACTGACGACGTTCTCTCTCTGGGAATAGCACACAAACCACACAATATTCTCCACCACGAGAAAGGAATAGGACATACTTGGCTCTAGAATACGATAACACCCTATAGTTCACATTTGATGCATAATTGAGCAACAAAGAATGGACACAACTTTGGATGACAAATGATACTATATGAGACAGTTTTTAAAACGATCTATAGCTATATCTAGACAATATATTAATTTCAAACGCCTGAGAGATTTTGTTTTCTCGAACATATTCCCCAAATACTCAACAGAATGGACATGTAAATAAGAGTAAAACACGTGATACATTTGTATGCGACCATTTTAGTGGCTAAGCTGTGGCTAACAGTTGATCTGTTAGCCAACGGGATTGTGTGGTACTAGTATATAAATTGTATTGTATTTCTTCTTTTCGACATCAAAGGATCGAGGACCTAAAATCGTTTTCATTTTAAAATGACTTACTGTACGGAGATATTATGACGACTTTGGCGTGTATTTGACTGGAGGCATTTCCGATATTGTAGAGAGTTCATGCTTTCCTATGACATGCACGTTTGTGTAGGGTTATGTCTTGCAATGCTGGCGTAGACTTGAAAAAAAATCTTACATTTGGACATAACCCCGAAACTTTGCATTGCAAACATGGTTGCCTTTTGACAGTTTTGTGTGTCCGATGTTTGGCATTCTTCTGGTATGATGAGGGCATTTAGAGTACTTGACATGATTTTTGAGTGAGGCAATGTTTTAATAAATGGAATTCTATGAACAAAAAAGACTTCCTGTGTCCTTTATTTGGCATTTTTCAAGTAAGACTTGGTAAAACTTAGTAAAGCTAAACGATTAGTACTACTAACAATAACATGAATTCGTATCTATTGTCCCAAATACTCAACAAGCAATATCTACGCCAAACAACAGTCATTTACAGTGGATCATGTGACCATAATTCTTTCCATTCATATAAAGATACGTATACGAGGATAAACATATGGACACAAATTTGCAGATATAGCTCCATTTTCTATACATACAAGACCACCAGATACATTATATTGAACAACAGAAAACTCAAGGGGAAGATGATCCGAGCTATCTTGTCTATCCGGTTCACGTTTTTGTCCCGGACCAGCTTTCCTGTGATTCTAGATAAAGGCATCCATGTGTTAAACAAGCGACGCCCTTCAGTGTCCTTAGATTTCCTTGGTGAATCTTCTTCACTAGAAGACACCTCTACGTTCACCCTTATGTTGGTACTTCTTGTAACATTCCAATTTGAAGAATGGCGACTTGCCTCTTGTCGTCTTTGCCATTGTCTCTTGTGATGGGGCCACGAGTAGAAGGTGGTTTCTTGACGTGTTAAGTTACCCTGTTGGTGCAGAGACACATCAGATGTATCTTTGCTCATCCTCTGTCCAATCTCCGTCATGACGTAACTGACGTCACTACCGACGTCTGGGCACCCATGATAGGATGACCGATGACGCCTTCTGCGTGATCTTGTACGTAACGTCTCTATCTCGACGCTGTATCTGTGCGGAGCTCTTCGAGTTATCCCATCTGACGACTTCTCAATTCCAAAAGACATTTCGGTATCAGTGCAAAATTCCACCCCACAACCGTGATTCGTGTTTTGAACGTTTGTTTGTTTCTTCCTTCGTTCTATCCTTTCTCCGCTTATTTCTCTGCCCCAATCTTCTCTTCCTCTCGCCCATCTTTTTGCTTTGCCTGTTCGGGTGAGATCAATGACGTCATCTGAGCCTTCTGTGTTGTCTTCATTAGAAGAGTATTTCTCCTCCATTCCTCCACTGGATTCCTGCGATTTTTAAAAACGTTTAAATGACTAACGTTCGTTATCTTATGATTCAGATATTTTTGTGACGCCTCAGGGACAGAGGCATTTTACGGATGTGGTTAGACTACTAAAACCACTTTCACAATCGCTGTAAATCACTATTGGCGGTAGCAAAATTTCGCAGTCTGGGAAAAAGGACATGTTGGTGGACCTATATGTTCGCGGTGGCGGCAGGTGCAGCAAAATGAAAGTGGGCAAATTATTTGTTTGCGGTAAATAAATTCGCGGTACAGTAGTGACCTCGAAAACCGCAAATATAAAAGTACCGCGAAAAAGAACGGATTTATCATTGCGAAAACACGAAAATATTGACGTAGTAACGTTTAACGCTTTGTGTTGTTTGCGGTTTTTTGTAGAATGTCACATGCCATGCATTTTACATTTTGCATTTTCACAGTGTATTGCGAGTCAATTAAGTAAGTTTGGTTTATACACAGGCAAATAGTTGCTTCGGCATTTTGGGTCACCGGTATTATGAAAAAGGTTTCCAGAAAATTCATGATCTCACCTCCGAGAAGCTGTGGACGCCTGCACGGTTCCTCCGTTTCCTCGCAGCTTGCATTTCCCGTCTCCTCCGCATGAGGGCGCGCGTGTAGTAGTTGTGATTGACGGCCGCGTACTCCGCCACGGCGCCGAACACGTACACCAGGCACACACCCAGGTACACGTCGATGGCCTTGATGTACGACACTCTGGGCAGCGTGCTCTGGACTTTCGCCACGATATTTGTTATCGTCACTACAGTCATGATTCCTGAAAAAAGGACGGGGGTACTTGGTATTGTACATTGAGGATATAGTAGATACATATACACCAGGACCCATCAACCCACCTTGAATCTGGACGTAAACGGTTTCGTAAACGGTCGTCGCCTTCCGATGCCACATCGCTGACTGGTCGACGCCATATCCTAGCGTATCGTAACTTTTTTTGTGAGGCCCCAAAACGTATACAATCGGACACATTTTGACCCACTCGGTAACAGACGAAGAGAGCGCAAAAAGATAAAAAGGCTGGAATTCAGGTTATCATATCGACCATATCACGAGTCAAAGTAATCTGTACACGTACATTTCAAACAGGGCTTAAACGGCACAGAAAAATGTTTTAGAGCAATTGTCTGAAATACATGACATAAGAGCCATTACGTAAGAAAGTGACGGGGGACGCCATTATTTTCTGTATCTTTGGATCCACTCCTCCCCGAGTCGTGTTCTTTTTCCCATTGTGTGGGAAAAATACAGTTTTATTTCTGCTGCATACGTTCATACAGAAGGTAATGAAATGGTTGATCTATAATCACCCAGGAAGACTCTGGCGTTTGACTCATCCGGGCTGAACCAGAACGACAGCCAGGACACAGCCACGATGAAGCCTGTCGGGAGATACGTCTCCGCCACCACGTGACCCATGATCCTCCGGATCACGAAGAAAACTGTCAAACC